ACCTTTTTGGGGGGGTCGTACAAACGCACGTGACAAGAGGCAGACCAGTGAGCAGATTTACATATGGAGCTGGCATGGCAGTCACGCACGTAACACGTGCGTGTCATTATCTTTAGCTCCTTTGCCCTTTTAAATAATTTTTATTTTGAGGAAAATAAAAAATAAAAAATAAAATGGGCTTTTCGAGGGCACGAAGCGTCCCGTGGTACGTATCCAGTTCATGTCCACGTCAGAAAGCCGAAAAAAGGGGAGGGTCCGAATCCGATTCGTTTTGGGTTCGGATAACCGGGTTTGGGACCCCATTTTCAGGAACAGGGTCTCCTTGCTGCTAGCCTATATAGCCCTAGTCTATTCTTAGGTTAGGTTGACAAGAGTTTTTGTTTGTATTTGTGAATAATTAGATACCATATTTTAGTAACGCACCAACATGATTATTCAAACATAATTATTAATATTTAATAGGGCAAAAATGACAAAGCTTACATCTTAACATATTGACTTTTGGTCAACAATCAACATAATATAACAAAGATATTTTTTTTTTTTTTTTCGTATTTCCATTTATTATAATATTATTTGTGGTAAGAAAACTTTAAGTCGAGTCAATGAGGTGTCAAACTCAAACGTTACTTAGCTAGCGGGAAACAACAATTTATTCATATAATATATTTTTTAATATCTTCATATTACATTAATTTATGATAATATCTGTGGTACCTACTTTATGTGAAACGAGGGAAAACATGAATTTTGTTGTAATTCATATATTTTCTTGGAAGTCCCGAATGGGAAGAGAAAAGCAAGTTGAAAATTTTTCAACATTTATTTGAGTACCGTTTCTATTAAGAAGGGGTGATAATATATTAAATTTACACATGCTACACGGATGTTAGAACTCGAATCCAATATATTTTCTGAAAGAAGAATCGCTCCAAACCACTATACTAGCGCGTTATTTGCAAAAATTTCCATATGATTAGAAAAATTCATTAACATTCAAGTAGTAAGAGTATGACTTGAACTCCACGAGTCTTATTAGAAAAATGTACATGAAAGCTACTGTAAAAATATCACATTTTGTATATTCTTTTTGATTCTTTTCTAAAGAAGTAAGGAATAACGTTTTGTACTTGGCGCCGATACATGTTGTTGTAGAGTTGGCAGGGTGCTGTGAATTGACTAGAGTAGAAAAACCAGCTACTCACAAAGTGGTCCTTAAGAGGAATACCCTCTGCACTCTGCCCACGTTTCGTACGCGGAATCGTCCACGTAAGAAATGGCAAATGGGATGGCCCACTGCTATAGTATTTGGGAGGGAGAGAGCCCACCCAACATGAACGTCTGGTCCACACTTCCTCGCTGCCCTACAGCCGCAGGGCCACAGAACCCCACGATCCTAAAGGCCAAAGCCCAATGCTGATTGATTACATTTACAACTTTACAAGCAAGCACCCTTAACCTCTCTCTGCTCCGCTGCTAGCTAGCTATACCTATATACGGTTGGATCCAGATTCCGCTACGACCGACCAATCTGCATGTTTGTCGCCTCCGAAATTACCATGACAAAAAAGGGTTCTACTTCTACCTTTTCCCCCATTTATTACCAATCAAAAGATAAAATAACAATATTATTAGTTGTTACTAAGAAAGAAAGAAAGTGCTAGCATCAATTGAGCGTGACCTTTTTTTGTTGTCATTAATTGGTTTGGATCTCGTGACACCTTTTTATAGCTCAAAATGCGTTGTGCCAGCCAAATATATATATGTAGATTATATTTTAGTTAATTGAAATCATTTTGTGTAAAGCATGGTGTTAAGAGAGATGAAAGTATATTTCTAGACTAGAAATAACTCATGTATGGAACTGAGAATGAGCAATGCTAGCTAGCTACCAGTGGCGGAGCCACCTAAGGACCAGGGTGCGCCCATGCCCTCTTAAGTCGTGGATAAGATCCTCGTCACAAGTTGAATTGTATTGCAAGATTTGTTAGCTGAGAGACCCGAAAGATTATTCTTATATGGCTCGATTAATTAATCTACCTAATTATATTTTATGTCTATAATTTGATTAATTACTAGCAAATTGCAATTAGCATGCAACCAAAAAAAACTTATGGTGTGGACCTGTCGGCTCATGCTCATAGACATGTCACCTTTAAAATATATAAAAAAAAACTCATCGTGGGTTCCAATTATTTTCGATTACGTACGAGCTACTAGTACTCGTTTTAAATAACGATTTAATGCAATTATAATAAGTGCAAGTGGGCCCGTTGCCACCATGAATTTGCTTCTGTTTGCCGGCTTTCCCATCATTGATTAATTAGAAAAGCACTTTGGGTCCATAATTTGATTATGAAAAAAGCACATAGCTAGGAGGGTCCTAAGCCAACCAACAACAATTACACGTTGGAAGAGTTTTCAACATGGATAACACGTTTGCATGCAATTCTTTTTTAATGTTTTAGTCCAATGGACTTAGCTTTCTCGAGGCTAATTAATACCTTCACCATGATGATAATGTTGCTCAAGAACTGTGACAAAGGCACATTCACTATAAGAATATGATTGGTCGTATTCAATGTACAGGTTGGTATACTGTCAATAAATATGATACACGTAAAATTACTCAAATTGTGAGCGAAAAAAAGGTGAATAATGTGGCTGTAGTTAACACGTTTTCCTTTATTGAGCGAATCCCTATTGGAGCTTGTCTAGAAAATAATAGACATGTGGGTAATTGACAGGGAAGCTTGGCATTAATTTATTTCCCAAACTATGGCTTTTTGACTTGGGTGGCCTACAATTAATTAATATCAGTGGAATTTAAAGCACAGGCTAAAAAAAGGAGTTGAAATTTATCAAATGGCACAGTGATTTGTTATTTGTGGTTGGGAGTAATTTTGACAACCAAAAATTTGATAGCAACAACAGCTAATGCTAAGAGCAGATGGCCAGCTTTGATTGTAGTTATAAATTATGGCCTTGTGGGGGCAAGGTATATTAATTTATCAGATCGATCAAACACTCATAAAATCTGTGAAGCATGGAATTTGTCCAAAACAAAGTTATCCAGAAAAGGCTCGTGTTTTTCATTTTGATCATGAAATCCATCTACAAATCTAAGAGACTAAGACGGGTTTGACAATTTGATTGAACCCATTATATGTTATGCTCCAAAGTATGACCAAGGTTTTGTTTGTGTGCGTTCTATTCTCCTCTCTCTTTTTTCATTTTCTTATCAAAATAAGCTTTAAATCAAGCTTCTTAATACAAGAGGTATTGAAGGACGGGGGAATCAAACTGAGGACATCAATCGAGTATAAGGGTAGATACTCTTAAGAATCATTTGAGATAGAAGCTTCTTGCGTCTTAAATCAAGCACATCGAGGTTGATGAATTTTAAAGAGTACAAGAAGCGGTGATGGAGAAGACAGCGACGTGGGAAGAGAAGAGAGCACAAATATCACACTCGAATTGAGACAGACTGTCAATGTTGCATTGCATCCACTGCCAAAGGGTCCAGCTCCAGCCTAACCTAATGTCCCAATAAACCAAATGCAATTATGGGCTCGTACTGGTTTTGGTGGTGTTGGATAAATAGCCGACATATTTGGGCTGCTTCTCAAAACCAAAATTTAGGGGAACAAAAAAAGAACCAAAAAAACGGAGGAGCCTCTCACAGTGCTGATAATTAATGTCGGTAGAATTTTATAGTTTAATTCAACGGTGAAGAGATATAGAGTGGTTACATATATGAAACTCTCATTATAGAATTTCGCAAGAGATATGACTTTATCTAAGGCTTTAGATAGGAGACTCTCACTATAGAATGACTCGATAATATTGTTATAGATGGATATAGAGATGTGAATAAAATGATAGCGCTTATACAAAGGCCCAAAATAAGAGAATGGGTTTATGACAAGATAAGTTTAAAGAAGAAGAAAATATCCATTTGAGCTGAATATAAACTTGGGCCTGTCGACTGTCGGCCTATGACAAGAAAACAACCTTTTGGGTTGGGTTTATATTATCCAATATATCCATGCATGGAGAAAAAACACAGCGACATATGTAGGGCAACAATTTGCTTGCTCATGTATTCTTATTTGTTTGCATGAATGAACGAGGTGACAGGAACCTTTTGATGATTGCAACTCTCGCTTGCAAGCTACCTTAATTATAGGAACGTCTCCGCAAATATTGATCTGTCAAAAGCAATATACTATATAATTTATTTTCATCAACTTCAAACAGATAACCAAACCAGAAGAAATTAAACTGTTAGAATTCATAGTTTCAGTAATTAGTTTTGAGTATTTTGGATGTTTGGGAGGAAGGAAGAGATCACAGAGAGAGTATGAAGAAGAGAACGTTGCTATGAAATAGAAAAATGGAGATTACTGTTCATTTCACTCCACTAGCCAATATATCGTTAGCAGAGAGAGAAGTGAGATGCTTCTCTAACGGATTCACATCAAAATTGAATCCTAGCCATTACTTCTATCATCCTATGAGATGCTTACATTTGTCACTAGCTGGCACTCAAGTCTTAGACTAGAAAGAGAGTCCACTTGGACTATGATCCAATGGCTCACATTACAAATAGAAATTAAAACATATAAAATGAAATTAGAACAACTTTGTGACTTTTGGCTCCAAGGTTTTCAGCTCAGGGGTTACCCATCAACACTCCCTTCTAACCCTTTAGCTGATTTCACACCAAGTAGTTCTCTTAGATACACAAATCAGTCCTTAGACAGAGCCTTGATTAATATATCTGCAATATGATCTTCTGTTTTGCAGTAGATAAGTTCAATCTCCTTTGCTTGGATAGCTTATCTAACGAAGTGAAACTTTCAACTGGTATATCTGGTTTTCTGGTGGAGAACTGGATTCTTTGCCATTGCTATGGTTGATGTGTTATCACACATGATTTGAGTTCCTTCAACTTGTTCTTCTCCAAAGTCCTCAAGTACAAACCTCAACCATTTTGCTTAGGAAGTAGCTTCAGCAGCATTGACATATTCTGCTTCTGCAGTGGACAATGCCACTGTGTTTTGCTTAATCAATGCCCATGAAAACACACCAGATCCTAGAGTAAATGCATACCCTGAAGTGCTCCTCATATCATCTTCACTTCCTGCCCAGTCACTATCACAGTAACCGATTAGAGTAGTTGTCTTCCCTTTTATAAATTCAATTCCAAAATCAAGTGTTCCTTGAATGTATCTCAGGGCTCTCTTTGCTGTCCCCATGTGTTTCTTTGTAGGATTATGCATGAACCTTGCCAAGAGACTTGCTGCAAACATCACATCAAGTCTAGTTACAGTCAAATAGAGCAAGCTTCCCACTATCTTTCTGTATTCTCCTCGATTCGCAGCTTCACTTCCATCAATCTTGCTCAATCTCTCATTTATTGCAAGTGGAGTAGCCACTGCTTTGCAATCTTTTAATCCGAACTTCTCAATCAACTTATGTGCATACTTCTTTTGGTGTATAAAGATACTCTTCTCAGTTTGTAATATTCCCATTCCAAGAAAGTGGTGTAACAATCCCAAATTTGTCATCTCATAGTGTTTCATCATGTCTTTTATAAATTCTTCAAGCATTTGGGGACTGTTACCAGTATATACAATATCATCTACATACAGGGAGAAATAATAATACCTGAATTCTCACTTGTTTTAACATACAAAGTTGCTTCACTTGAACTTTTCTTGAAACCAGCACTATTGAAGTATGCATCTATTTCATCATACCAGGCCCTTGGTGCTTATTTCAATCCATACAGTGCCTTGTGCAGTTTGTACACATTTGTTTCTTCATTTTCTTTCACAAAATCTTGTGGTTGTTCAACATACACTTCTTATTTTAATACCTCATTGAGGAACGCATACTTAACATCTAGCTGATACAAGTTCCATTTATTCTGTGCAACAAGAGCAATCAAGGTTCTAATGGTGTCTAACCTTGCCACTGGGGTAAAGGTTTCATTGTAATCAATCCCAGGCTTTTGTGAATAGCCTTTAGCCACCAATCAAGCCTTATTTTTCTGCACAGTACCATCTAGATTAAGTTTGGTCTTATAGACCCACTTGACACCAATGACAGGTTTATTAAACGGTCTCTCAAAAAGCTGCCAAGTATTATTCTTCTCTACCATTTCCAACTCAGCTTCCATTGCCTTTCTCCATGACTCATCCAGATCAGCCTCTTCAAAATTCTCAGGTTCCACTATGCACATATTGCACTGAGCCATGATCTCGTTGATACTTTTCCATTTTTTTAGTGTGTGGTCAATAGCTTGCAAGATTTCAAGTATTTCCTCATCTTGTAGTGTAGTACCTCCGTCCACTTGAGTTGATGGTTCGAAGGTTTGACTTGGTTCACAGTCTTGATTTTTAGTAGGCATAGACACTTTCATTTCTCTTGCACCAGTATTCTCCCACTTCCATGAAACATCTTCATCAAAATGTACATCTCTAGACAGAATAATCTTTATAGATTTTGGATCAAATAATATGTACCCTTTTTCACAGATTCCGTAACCCACAAAGATACACTTGTGGCTGTTTTCTTTAAGTTTATGTCTTAGTACTGAAGGGATGTGCACATGGGAAGGAGATCCAAAAATCTTCAAGTGTGCAATGCCTGGTTTTCTGCCAGTGTAAGCTTCAAATGGTGTTACCTTTTTGAGAGACTTGGAGGGACATCTATTTAGTAGATTGACTGCAGTGTTTACAGCCTCTGCCCAAAACTCATAGGGAATACCCTTCTCATGCAACATGGATTTTGCCATTTCCACCACTGTTATGTTCTTTCTCTCAGCTACTCTATTTGGCTGAGGAGAGTATGCCACAGTTAGCTGCCTTTGAATTCCAAACTCTTCACAATACTTGTTAAATTCGCTTGATAAAAACTCTCCACCCCTATCACTTCTCAAGCCTTTTATCTTATATCCACTTTGTAGCTCAGTCATAGCCCTGAACTTTTCAAAACATTCAAATGCTCTTGACTTGTTTCTGATGAAATACACCCATGACATTCTAGTGTAATCATTGTAAATAGCAGAAAATGCCTATTTCCCAAAATGGATTCAGTCTGAATTGGTCCACAGATATCTGTGTGAACCAATTCCAAAGGACATGTAGCTCTCCAAGTGGACTCCAATGGAAAGGAATCTCTGTGTTGCTTTCCTAGCATGCAGCCTTCACACACTACTGAAGTTTGCTCCAAGTGAGGTAAGCCATGAACAATGTCTTGATTCTTAAGCATTTTTATGCTCCTTTCATTTAAGTGCCCCAATCTCTTGTGCCATGTCTGCAAACTGTGTGTAACACTTGCCTTTAAGGCCAAATCACTTGCAGGCATCATTATAAGAGGAAAACATATGTTATTTGTCATTTGAACTCTAACAATCAGATTGTCCAGTGACCGATCATCATAAATGTTCACCACATTCCCTCCAAACATAAGATAGTACCCATGCTCCATCATTTGTCCAACAGTAAGCAGATTTTCTTCAAGACCTGGTACAAGCATCACTTCTTGAATGTGCTTCCTACCCAACTTGGTTTCTATCACAAAAGTCCATTTTCCTGCAACCGGAACTATTTCTCCAGTTCCCATTTTTACTTTAGAAGTCAAATTTCTCTGAATATTGACTAAAAGTCTCTTATCACCTGTCATGTGGTTACTACAACCACAGTCGATGTACCATGAGTGATTCACCTTCACATTTGTCGCAGTATTGCAAGCATAGAACAGAGTACCAGTTTCTTAAACCTGAGTTGCATAGTTCACTTTCTGTACATTTTTATTTCCATTGCACTCTCTGAGCACATGTCCAAATTTCCCACACCCTTTGCATTTAGGCTTCCCTTCAAACCAACACTTGCAATAATGCAGCTTATCACAGTGTTTACAAGTTGTTTTGTTTCCATCGTTGGATTTCCTGTTTTTTTGAGATTTTTTTATCTCCCGAAGAACCTCAACTCTTAGGATTTTTCCCCTCAATATTCAGACTAGTAAAAGCCCTTTATGTAGAGTTCTCAGTATGTCGATCCAATCTGAGCTCAGAGCTCTTCAGAAAGGCAACCACCTCTTGAACTTCAAGAGTTCGAGATCCTTAGAATGTTCAATCACAGAGTAGATAGAATCATATGATTTTGGCAAACTAAACAGTAATTTCTGCGCAACTCTCTCTCTAGATAGTTCCTCACCATAACTCTTCATGTGATTCATTATATCAAACAATCTAGCAAGATATACAGATAGGGATTCACTATCTTTCATGCGAGTGTATTAAAATTCTCTACGTAATCCTTGCAATTTTACATTTCTTACCTGTTTATCTCCTCTGAATTCCAGCTTTAGAATATCTCAAGCACCCTTTGAGGTCTCCTCGTTCACAATTCTGGGGAAGAGCTGATCTGAGATAGCACTTTGGATTAACCCAAATGCACGAGCATCCTTCTCAGAAGCTCAGCCATCGTAGACTTCTCAGCAACCATAGTCTCTTCTATCTCCTTCTCCTTCTTTGGATTTGAAGCATCGAAACCATGTTCAACCAGATCCCACAATCCATGAGATTTCAAAATGGTTTTCATCCTAATGCTCCAGAACTCATAGTTTTCTCCATTGAAAACTGGTGTGCGAAGCTCAGCAGTGCTCGATCATGCCATATTAGACATTGGATTCAAGAAATCACAATTGCGATCATCAAAGGAGCTCAGACCCAGCTCAAATTGATTCCGACTCCCTGTTCACAGATTCACGCCCAGCTCAAGCAATCGAACTTGGCTCTGAGGCCATGTTAGAATTCATAGTTTCAGTAATTAGTTTTGAGTATTTTGGATGTTTGGGAGGAAGGAAGAGATCACAGAGAGAGTATGAAGAAGAGAACGTTGCTCTGAAATAGAAAAATGGAGATCACTGTTCATTTTACTTCACTAGCCAATATATCGTTAGCAGAGAGAGAAAAGTGAGATGCTTCTCTAATGGATTTACATCAAAATTGAATCCTAGCCATTGCTTCTATCATCCTATGAGATGCTTACATTTGTCACTAGCTGGCACTCAAGTCTTAGGCTAGAAAGAGAGTCCACTTGGACTATGATCCAATGGCTCACATTAAAAAAAAAAATTAAAACATATAAAATGAAATTAGAACAAACTTTGTGACTTTTGGCTCCAAGGTTTTCAGCTCAAGGGTTACCCATCAAGATAAAGAACACTTGGATGAAAACTCGACTTCATAGGAAAGGGCCATTTTCTCTGCTACGTACATAGCGAGCGGATGGTGATGAACTGCAAACATTTCCAAACAAAAATGCATGTTGAAAATAAGAAACTTATATCTCGATCGAGCCTAGGTTAAACCACAAAGAAGGAATTATATATGCAGTGAGAAAGAAAATGTGACAAGCAGCAAGGAAGTTGGATCCTCGGAGCCAAGCAGGGGCATATATTCACATGAACACCGAAAGATCTCCAGTTATTGAAAAGAATTCAACCATAGAATTAAGGGTTTGTTAGGTACATGTTAAGTATAATTTATACAAGTTTGAAACTTAAATAATAAATTTTCAGCTTTTCTTATTCTCAACTCTACTGAAAATTCTCTATCTGCATTGTATCCATTTGCGTACTCGGAGTTGGTGGGGTGTGGTGGTGTGAGGTGAATTGAGATTAACATTACTGTTAATACTGTAAAGTTATAGCACACTAAAGTGGTCATTTTTTTTGGGGTATGAGTCTGGCACCAGAGTGGTGAGCGGACCTTTTTTTAGGGTCCGAGTATGCACCCTTTTTTTTTTTTTTTGTTTTGTCTGAAGAACCAGAGTGGTCGTCCTTAACGAAATAGCAGATCGTATGACAACCTCTGCAGGACTGTGATTTGGTGGGGTGGTGTGAATTGAGATTGACAATGCTATGTTATAGCACTGAAAAAGAATGGTCCTCTAACATTTACCAAACGTTCTCTTTGAGGAGAGGGAAGGGTCTCACCACAGCGTGGAGTGTGGACCTCTCTCCTCACGCAATTAATATATCACTCAACAATGACAATGCTTGTGACAATGCTGATATAGACAAATATATAGATACAAACGATCACATTATTTATTTCGTGAGGTTTATTTAATAGAATTGACATTAACCAAAGTCAAAAGTACTCATATGCCCAAGCTTGCAAAGAAGACAACTAAAAATAATCACACCTTAAGCATAAAGCAGACCTAAAATTTCAACCAAGAACCTTGCAATTTCTCTTTATTGATGCAATCTTGTCTCTCCACCATTTCAGCTGTCAAATAATTCATCCAACCTCCAACCTCACCTTTCCTATAAAATAAAAAAGCACTGTTCTCCTCACCAGACGATAACTTCCCATTTTTATTCACATCCAAGTTGCTCAAGTTGTCAAAACTACACAACCTTAAGATGTCATCTGCAACTCCTAGTGCCTCTTCCTCTAGGAAAACGGGCACCCTAAGAACTCAGCTAGCCTCCTCGAGTAAAGAGTGGGCTCTTCTTTCATTTCCTCAAACTTGAAGAACATTATCTTTTCAGGCCTTTCCAAACTCTCCTTCTAATACCCCAACACATGATCCCAAAGGGGCCCATCCAAGCTCACTCTTTTGCAAAACTTATCAAACGCTTCTTCAAGTGAAATGGTGCCCTACTTTTGGCTTTCAATTTGTTGGCGAAGTGCCAAAGAGAAACAAATGTGTCCTTAGGATCTCTACACAAGTAAACAACCTTGCATGCAGAGTGTTTGACAGAATCAGGCAATACACATATGGCAAATGAATCAAAAAGAGCCTCGGAGGGGCCAAGGCGGTAAGGTCAAGAACCTCTTTCTCCGTGTATACATTCAGCTCCAAGAAGGGCACCAGAACATGAGGGATGTTTGTGATCAGAGGGTGTTGTTGAGGGTCTGGATCTTGCGGCCTTTTCACCAAGGCAAACAGAATAGCCTTGAGCCAAGTGGTGCCTGATTTAGGAGTTCTAACAAGAAGGATGTCAATGTCTAGGGCTTGGAAGTGTTTCTGGCATGCTAAAACTCCTTGCATGTGCCTAGTTGCATGCCAAAAACCTTGGTACTGATGCACCTGGTTTGCAACCTAACCTGTTTCTCTAGGCAGAGAGGATATAAGGTCTCTACTTTCTTTGCTGAGTTCATTTTCTTGTAAGTATTTTGGAAGAACGCAAGGAGGAAGTTGAGTTGTTGACATGGTTTTCATAATAGGAAAGGTTGAAAGAGTGGTGTTAAAGGCCTCGCTCGGCTCTTTGTGGTTGGGAGTAATTTTGACAACCAACGACGTCAAGTACTTGATATATAGTTGTTTACCCGTATTGACGCAGTTCCTGTGATGGTAGGGTAAAGTTCCATACTAAAAACCATTGGGTTCTTGTGATTGTACCACTGTTAGCAGTTAAAAACCCTAACAGACTATAAAATGTAATAATTTGCGCCTAAGCTATTGACTTTGATAAAGTGATTGTGAATTTGGGTGATGAATATATCCCAAGAAAGTTCTTTTCTTGCCTCAGACATAATTTCTCACAATAAAAACTAGTAAGTTTAGCCAAAAAATAAGTGTTTGAAAATAAAACAAATGAGTTCAAGGAGAACTGTTTATTATAAGTGAAATAAAAGGAACTGCCAAGTCTGGGAAGACATCAGAACATTGGACTTCGATTTTTGCCTAGATTGCCGTCTGTGACTCAGGCTGGACTGGATGTATCTGTACTAGAGTTGCACGTCAATACCTTCAACTAATGGAGATTAGCTGGAAATTGATACCAATGTTGAAATTGGCAAAGCTATAATCTATTTGAGCCATGGAGAGGCTTGACGAGGGGGCATAATGAAAGGAATATTATGGGAATGGTGTTGTGTAGAGATTTCTAAAAACTCTACAATCAAACTTTGGAAGTATAAATCACCTAGCAAGCCATATCTAATATGAAATCAAAGTAAGAGCGGAAGCATTAAATAAACTAGGGATTCATGTAAGTCTCATTTGGTCCCAATCTTTTTAAGTCTATGAAAGTGTGCACCAAAGACTCTCTAAATCCTATTTGAGAGAAAGATAAGATGTTCATACCCTTGGAGGGAATCTTGAAACCAAGAATAGTGTTCAAGTAGAGGGAGTGGTCCCTTTGTTGTTGGCTCTCCCTTTGATGTTGATTCTCCACCTTGTAGCTTTCCAAATAGGTGCAAAGATATGCACCTCCCCAAAGCTCTTCACCAAGGATTGAATGGGATGAGAGAATGAGTAGACAACAAGTGAAGAGTGGTGCTAGCACCCTCACTTGATGTGATAGATTGAAGGGGTTAGGGAGAGAAAGCTTGGTGTTTTCTCTCTTCCAATTTCACCAACTTGAAAACCCTATGATGATAGGATTTTATAACTACACCAATCGATTCCTTTTTTGTGTATGATCTTATAGGTTCTAATTAGCGAGGCAGTGGGTATGAATAATTCACTCTAAATCAAGTTTGAATTGTATCCCTTCATACAATTCTCCATATTGGCGAAGGCTAATTATAATTAGTCCTTACAGGGTTTCCACAAGCCATGAGTGACATCTAGCAGTATGTCATAGCTACCTAAACTAAAAAGAATTCATTTAGAGAACTTAGTCAGTTTGTGATTACAATGCAATTTGATTTTTCTCTAATTCAATACTCTGTGTCATATTCTCAAGATATGATAAACTTGTGTCAAAATCCCTAATACGACATCTCTAGATTATATGATTCAATTTGATGAAATTGCAAACATTCTTGTTTCAATTTCCATCTAATACTTTGGCCAAAGACTTATGAATTATATTTTAGAGTATTCTCTCTTCTTACTAAGAGCAGAGATTCCTTGTTGTACATTCACTTGTCTACATACACGCTGAGAATCCTGATGAACACATTTAAGTCACATCATTTTGATACAACCGTATAGTGCTATCAAAGAGAAACAACATATACACAAGACAACTGTGATGTCTCAGGTCTAGGGATTAATTTGCATTATCTAACACAAAACTGGGAGTTTGCATCTGTTCTGCCTATTCTAGAGACTATTTGTATGAGATGAAGACATCCTGGTGTCTTTGTTATGGTTGAAATGGGGTTTCTCCAACCTGGACTTGATTGGAAGTGGCTGGATTGGTAGTTGTTGGTATGTAATTGCACTTCAGTACCTGTTCTGCTTGACTGGGGATCACCTGTAAGCTATTCTAGTGAGCTTAGGACATCAAGGTGAGGTTTTGTTGAGGTTTTCATATGATGAACAACCTGAGTTCTACATGGTTCACCTATTCTGAACCGCATTTGTAACGACAAAAAGTTGAGTTCTGCTTGATTTTTCTGAGCTGAATTGCATTTGCAATGAGAGAAATCTCGTTTTCCTTGTTGGTGAGTTACTTCTTTGAGCTGGATTGAAGTTAGAAATATGAGTTCTACCTGTTTTGTTGAAATCTGGATGGCTTTTGTAAGCTAGATAGCTTGATTGCTTCTGAGTTTGAAGGCTTTTGAGATCTCATGATCTTTGATGTTGTCAGTTTGACTGAGAGTTTTTGGTTGTATGTTTTGTTGGTTTGATTTTGTTGTCCTTGCTCCAGTTCACGTACTCTTGTATTTATAGAGAAATGCATGATGAGAACTAGAGCACAATTGTTGGAAAGTGATGAGAACTAGAGCACAATTGCTGGAAAGTGTTAATCCACTGACCCTTGGTAGCTCTAAGAGAATAAGTCACCTTTCTAGCTTTGCTTTTCTCTCAACCCATTTCCGTAAAAGCCTTCTGTTGACAAAATATTATTTGGCTTGTAGTTGCCTGTTTTCCTGGGAAGCCACTGGCTGTGGTTGAGAAGAGTGCCCTGCTTTTACCTTTCTAGCTCTAGAGTTGCCTAATTTGGTTTTGAGTTGGTAACCAACGGTGATGATCAAATCTTAAGTTCATAACATGTAATTTGGAAACTGGGTAAAAATAAACCAATTAAACTTGGGTATTAGATTAAATCACCATTGGTGGTAATTAAAATCTATCTTGTGAAAATTACTTTGGGTAATTGGTTTATTTTAACCCTCCTTCTTTGAAATGCTATGGGCTATTCTCCTTTTTTGGCAAATAGAACCCATAGCTTGTGCAAAAATAACTCAATAGACTGATGGGCTGATGTGTATAAATTACGCCCAAACAAAAGCAACAACAGCTATAATATAGTGCAAAACTTCAAGCACGGAACTTGTGAAGCCCATAAAATAAGGATAGCAAAACAGTATTATCCCTATTACAACTAAGTTGCGCAGCTCTTCAAATATGTGGCTCACTATCCACTAACAAATTAATAAGTAATTAACATGACCCACCACTTTATATCTTATTCCGTCATTGATATTATACAAATTGGGTTAAATGACAAACCCATTATACGATCACATTATTTATTTCATGAGATTTATTTAATTGACATTGGACCCAACCAAATTCAAAACTACACAAAATCACACGCATGCAAAGAACACAACTAAAAATAATCACACACTAAGCAAACCTAGAATTTCAGTCCAGAACCTTGCAACTTCTCTTCATTGATGCAATCTAGTCTCTCCACCATTTCAGCTGTTAGATAATTCATCCAATCTCCAACCTCACCTTTCCTGAAAAATGTACTATTCTCCTCACCTGATGATAATTTCCCACTTTTATTCACATCCAAATTGCTCAAGTTGTCAAAACTACACAACCTTAAGATATCATCTGCAACTCCTTGTGTCTCTTCCTCTGCAGAAAATGGGCACCCTAAGGACTCAGCTAACCTCCTCAAGTGAAGAGTGGGCTCTTCTTTCATTTCCTCAAACTTGAAGCACATTACCTTTTCAGGCCTTTCCAAACTCTCCTTCCAATACCCCAACACATGATCCCAAAGGGGCCCATCCAAGCTCACTCCTTTGCAGAACTTATCAAACGCTTCTTCAAGTGAAATGGTGCCCCTACTTTTGGCTCTCAATTTGTTGGCGAAGTGCCAAAGAGAAACAAATGTGTCCTTAGGATCTCTACACAAGTAAACAACCTTGCACGCAGAGTTTTTGACAGAATCAGGCAGAGACACATATGACAAATGCGTCGAAAAGAGCCTCGGGGGCGCCAAGCCGGTGAGGTCAGGACATTAAGCTCCAAGAAGGGCACAAGAACATGAGGGTTGTTTGTGAGCAGAGGGTGTTGTTGAGGGTCTGGATAGTGCACCCTTTTCACTAGGGCAAACAGAACTGCCTTGAGCCAAGTGATGCCTGATTTGGGAGGGCTAACAAGAAGGATATCAGTGTCTAGGGCCTGGAAGTGTTTCTGGCATGCTAAAACTCCATGCATGTGCCTAGTTGCATGCCAAAAACCTTGGTACTGATGAAGGTGGTTTGCAACCCAACCTTTTTCTGTTGGTAGAGAGGGTATAAAGTCTCTGTTTTCTTGGCTGAATTCATATTCTTGCAAGTATTGGGCAAGAGCAGGAGGAGGTTGAGGTGTCGCCATGGTATTCAAGACAGGAAAAGCTGAAAGAGTGGTGCTTACGGTCCTTGCTGTTTTCCTGCAATGCTTAAGCAGTATAGTTTGCTTCTATTATATAGCAATCTCAAGAACAAAAAACAAAAAAAAATCTACGTAACCTAACCTAACAAGTATTTACAACAAAATAAAAATTGATTAATGAACTTTTTGTGTGATACATGTAGGGACAGATTTAGAATTTCAAACTTGACTGGGCTAAATTTACTTTACATATATAAACATACTAAGTATATAGAAAACTCGACAATACGATTGTAATTAATCCCATAAAAAACAAAAAAAAAAAAAAAAAAAAAAAAAACCCCCAAGAGGGGCATAATAAGCCTTACTCCTAAAATAACACTATATAAGTTGCACCCTTCGAGTCTTCATAGAATTAAAATAATTCATTATCAATTCATTATCTATATGAGTTTGGTAACAAAGTCGACAACTCTAAGAAACAGTCATAAACAATTTCTTCGACTTTTCTTTCTTTTTTTCCATGGGCTGTGCATTCTTTTTTTCTCTCCTTTTTTTCCCTATGTGTAGAGATGTGCAGCTTTCCTCTTCTCCGTTTTTTATCTCCACGTGCAATGCAAATGATTCCTTGGAAGGGTAGGTTATTCAATTGGCTGGGCTATAATTTTTTTTTGGGCTGCTAAAAACACAGCCATCTAGATTGTGGCCTAGGTTAGTCATGCTTATAGTCCGTCCCTGGATACATGTGATCACAGTATAGACATAAACCCAGTTAACAATCCTTTCATATGATCATTATGTTCAGAAAGTGTACTTTCAATTGGAGATGATTTTCTAACCATGGCTCTCATTCATGTTGTCGATTTATTTATCAAATGATTAATTAGCCCATGATTCATGAGTGGTTGGGCTTTCAATTAAGTATAATAATTGTCGTTATACACTAGATCACAGATATCCACAAATGGCTAAAATATTTATAAAAAAAATTCATTAAAAGGTATGCAACATATCTGTCTAAAATCGAACTTTTGTATTATCCAATATCCATGCATGGAGAATTCAGAGCAATATCTGTCGGAGACAATTGCTTTGTTGAAGCATTAAAGCATGTGTTCCTTGTTTGTTTGCATGAATGAGGTGACAGCTACCTTTTGATGATTGCAATACTCTCGCAAGCAACCTTAATTATAGCACATCTTCTGATGATTGCAATACTCTCGCAGGCAACCTTAATTATATCACATCTTCGCAAATATTTATGTAAGCCGTTTGATAATCATTTTAATTTTAGTTTTTAATATTTAGTTTTTATTTTTTGTGCTAGAATACAAAGGAAAATAAAAATAAAGATGAGATTGAGAAAGAGGATGAAATAGTTATCAAACAGGCCCTATATATTCTCTTTTCGTTAACTTCAGATAACCTAAAAGAAATTAATAAACTGGATGAAACCTTGGGTTAACAGGAAGGGGCCATCATACATGTTAGTCAGGAGACATGATTGTGATAATTAACAAACATATCAGGAATACATGAGTGGATAATTGTGATATAAACAAATATAAAGTGCTGGACAAATTGCAGTGGGTGTCGACCAAGAGGAGTGGTGCTGACCAAAGTAATAATGGGATGCACTCGTGGTAGAGTTTGACCATGTATATAAATAGGGAATGTATCTTGTAAACAGATGTGAGAAATATAAAACAGTTTCTTCAATACATTCTGAGGTGAACCTCATGTCTAACACATCTTTGGCAGGGTTTTACTACAAGCTCTATCTAATTCTCATCAATTTACAGAGAAGTAGAAGAAAATTGTTATAAAGGCTTTCATAAGGAAACCTACATGAAATTGTTCCTCAAAGTCACAATCTCTTGTCTGCTGTGTGACCGTGAGTAGCGACCACATGGTGATGAACTGCAAACAATTCTGAACAAAAATGTATGTGCCCCATCATCCATGCCCCTTGAAATCCAAGCCTTTTTACCTGAGAAACTCATCTCCTTGGTTAAAACCACATAGAAGTAATCATGCAGTAAGAAAGAGAATGTGACAAGCAGCAATTACATCATATTTCAACATCAGGCACTCCCAATAAGAATGAAGTTGGATCATCGGAGCCAAGTAGGGGCATATACTCTGATCCTCTCACATGAACACCGAAGCAAGCTACAGAAAGATCTCCAGTTATTAAAAGGATTCAACCATAGAATTAAGAATTTGTTAGGTACATGTTAAGTATAATTTATTACAAGTTTATAACATAAATTTGAAACTCAGTTACGGTAGATTACTACTTCAGAAATAAGTAAAATTTCCAGCTTTTCTTATTCTCAACTCTATTGAAAATATAAAACATATAAGTGTTTGTTGTTCAATTTTGAAAGAGATACACTTGCATGACTTAAAATTCAAGGGTCCTAATTTGATTCCATACACAGATTGCAAGTAGAAAATCTCCCTATTTCCGATTATTTTATTTAGTTCTTCCTAATATTCCAGTCTGTAGCGACGTTCCAAAGCATGAGATTAAATACGTTTATAACATTTTTTGTCATGGTTAAGTGCAAGAAAACTGTCGACACTATACCATTCTCTATCTTCATTACACTCTGAAGCATTGTATCCATTTTCGATTTCATGTCATGACTATCATCCATAAATGGGACAACAAGGGTTAGTTCCCTGTAAATTTCACGCACAAACTGGCATATCTTCTTAGCGAAATCAAGTTCACCATCTGAAATTCGACCAATTGCCAACCGCATCAGCTCTCCAGTCAAATCTGCAAGCTGTACAACAACGAGTTAGTCTTCTGGTGTTTGACGAAAGGATATAGTATGTGTTTATATGAATGCCCTCCAGTCAAATCCAAAAGGTGCATGAGAATACCAAACAACTCCAAAAAAATATATATCCGTCCATGTGTTACAGATACACACACGCATATACACAGTTAATGCCACTTAATCCAAAAACCATATTCAGTTAATCAACTGGCCTATAGTTTGCTTTTCGCACAAAGAATGTAAGAGCAAAATTGGAAAAATTACCCCGAGGAGATAGTCAAGGACATTGATCTGCAAAGGCTCAAGAGAAGGATCACTGAGTGGTAACAAAGTAGCATTCATCTCATCAAGGTTTAAAAGAGTCCCAGTCCTGCAGAATTTACAGAACGTTGCAGCTTCAACATATTCTTGTACCTGCAGAATTTACGAGGCATACCATTTAGTGGACATCACATAAGAATCAAGCAGAAGCAGACGGAGAAGGAGAATCCACCCCACCCCAGGTGAGTATGCTCGTCTTAGCTTCCAAAAATCAGTCCCTTGCAGCTCCCTAACCAGTCGGGAGATGTACTGATCAGTCACAGTCGCTAAATCCTTTTCTGCTTTCTGCAGAACTTCCTCTTTGTTGTGTTTACTGATTCTGTTCAAGTTCAAATTTACAGCAACAACACTTCAATGCATGCCACCAAAGCAGTAGCAAGACAAATTACAAAACAAACGCAAAGGTCTCAGCTTTCTTACCTGTGCACCTGAAAGATGACCTTTTTGCTGTTAATGGTGATATCACGACTTGCTTTTACGACTCTTTCCCGTTTTTCATTCTACAATTAAATGGCGACACAAAACCCCACATTGTTAAACAAAAAGCCTCCAGCTTCACGCAAGTTGCATACATGAAATCACTCGTATTGCTGCAATTAGAGAAATTGAATTTAGGGATTTACCAGGCCATTGAGGTAATCGGTGTATTTGGCGAAGGCATCTTTCATGGAGGATTCAGTGGTCATCGTCCTCACCCTTTTTGCTACGCTCTGCGACGTCGTCTCTGCAACTGTGAGCGAGTCAATGGCTCAATCTAAACTCCAAAAAGTCTGCGTTTTCAATTCGAAACAAAAAGAGAAAGAGAGCGATAGGTACTGTTGTGGAGGCGCTGGGGTTTGAGAGCCATCATCCGCAGAGATAAGCGCTGCAACTTCAACATCCTTCCCCCACCCCTTGCAATTTTTAACGCCTAAATCACTGTGCTTTTTCATGTCGTTTTTCTCTACCCCTGACGACGCCACCCTCAACGTCGTTTTTGTCGTCCTCATTCGAGAAGAGAGCTAACCCCGTTTTGGTGAACCAAACGGCTAAACTCAAAATCAAAATCCTAAATCCTTTTTTTTTTTTTTTTTTTTTTTTCCTCATAATCTTGTAAGTAAAAGCTCCTACATTCATGCCAATAACAGTATAACATATTTACATAATTTTTGTGTGCGTTTTTTTATAAATTATTTGTATATCAAACTGTGATTTGTTGGAAGCAGGCAAGTATTATTTTTTTGTTTTTTTATTGGAGTAGATGCTTTATAAAATAAAAGCACCCTACAAGAGTACAAAAAATAGAAAAAATATATATATGAAACCAAACCTTACTTGATTTTTCAATTTACACACATGTTAGAAAAAAATTTATTTTTAAAAAATCTATATTAGTCTATAATTTGCTAAATAAAATTATAATTCTAAATTGTTAATGGGGATAAATTAGTCATATTATCTTTACTTTCTCATAAGAAAAGAAAATGAATAGAGGATTTCATTTTCACCCTCTTTTTCCAGAAATCCCTTTCCCATGTGCCATAAAACCTTTTTCTAAACTTACCAAACATCCTAAGCCCATTTTCTCATGCATCGAATGTACCCTCAGTGGCAATGCTCCTAAAAACGACGTCGTCGGGACTGCTCACTACTATTGCCATTGGCAAAACATTAAACAAATGCTTCCTTACCAAAGCCGCAAGTCCCGCAACTCTGCGTTTGGCGCGTAGATTTCACTGCTCCCTACCCAGAAAAACGACAAAGAAGATGGTGACGCTGATCGTGGCGACGACGACCGACCCGGCCTCCATCAACCCGGCCAATGCCCTCCTAGCCATGCCCGGCTGGGACCCGACCCCTTCTTGTTTACAGGTCTGCTAAACCAATGATCATCGTTAATTCTATCATTAATTATAGTTTATCTCATCATTAACTTAATGAATTGAACAATAGGATATGAAGGGGTTTGGCAATGGAGCAGGAGGAGTTAGGGTTTTGCTGCACAACAAGGGGATAGTGGAAGAAGACGACTTGGACAGGCGGTGGGAGGAGGCCACAGGCGAGCGAGTCGATGAGCTGATATTTCTGAGCAAGCACACCGCCGTCTCGAACCGACCTGCCCTGACCGTACACCCGATCGGGGTCCCTCATCTGCGTCCTGGTGACTCTGCGCCGCAAGGTGGGAGGCCTGGTTGGGCCGCGCCCCCAAGTCCGCGCATTGGGCCCTGGCTCAGGCACTTGAAGGAGCTTGCCCAAGCCCACAATTTGGTTCCTGAGTTTGAGGTTTCTTTCTCTCTTACTCTGCATTTTTCAGTTCATCTTTTGTCATTGGCAATGTGTGTGTTGTAAGTTGTATTGTTATACATACTTAACTTGAAATGCATTGCATGTAGATAACTTTGGAGGGCACACATCATGGACCGATCACAAATACACCTACTATGTTCCTGGAGATTGGTGAGTTTTAACTTTTGAATGAATCCCAGTTGGCTTCTGCTTGCCTTTTTTGGTAGTTACAGTTCATATTTGATTGGTTTCTTGTGGGTTGATGTAGGCAGTACAGATGAGTACTGGAAGAGGCAGGATGCAGCTCAAGTTATTGCTCTAGTTGAGTATAACTATAGCCATTACTTTCAATCATTTGAGCATGAGCCATTGATATGTTCCTGCTTTCGGTTTTTCGAATAAATACTTTTGCTCCCCTTATTTGTGCTCTTATTGGATTATCTTGTACCTGACTTTTGGAGAATAATGGTTGCAACTTGTGTACTTGCTTGCAGTTAGTTTGGGAAGGACTTGGGCTTGGAGGGGGAGCTGCTGTGGGAAACTGGAATGGGTACTGTCAACAATAAGTAGACAATTTATCATTCTCTGTTTCTTATTGATTTTTATGCAAAGCTCATGTATATTTGTTTGCACTTCAAATAGAAGTTGCTTCTCACCTCAACATATTGTGTTGTCTATTCCATTTCTTGATGATGCTAATCTAACCCCATTTTCTATATTATTTGTTTTCTAGGGAGAAGGATAAGAATAGAGTTCTTCTTGGCATAGGTGGTGGACATTATGCACCTCGGCATATGGATATAGTTCTGTAAGTTATAGTCAATTACTGTTTTTCCATTTTCTTTCAATTATTTCGCATTCCTTTCTTAGTGGACGCATCCAGCTTTTTTCTTTTTTCCTTTTGTTGTGGAGTTCGATGCATCAGTTTCTTTGTTGTGGTGGACATATCAATGTGAACTGGAATCCCTTCACATTGATTGATCATGTAAAAGTAAATGTGGTAAATAGGTCTGTTAAAATTGATTACCAGATTGTAGATGATACTTTCTTCATCGTATTTACTGTTTGGAGCTTAAGGCTTGGTCCCCTTTCTGAAACCTCGTAATATCCCTCACCCCTTTCCTCTCTTCCAAATGAGTGTGCTTTGCATTTCGATGGAAAATTAGTTACTAACTTACTCAATGCATCGATTTACTTGGCCCCCTTTTCACCATGTTAACCTTTTCTCCGTCATGTGAAGGACATTTATTCTTTGAATATTTTATACTAGTCTGTATTCGATATGTAGTGTACAAATACTTGTTGATGGCCAATATAGTGAAGATATTTGGTCTACTCCATGAACATATCCCCATTCTTTGCGAGTACAGGAAAGATGGTGTGTGGGTGGGCCATCTACTGTCGGGTTATTCCTTGCCAATGGAAGATCCAAGCCAGTCCAAAGCAGAAACAAATACAAAAGAAATTGGTGGAACTTGGAGAGAAGCAATCAAAGCAGGATTTGAGGCTACGCAATCAGCTTTCCCTGATGGGGAAATTCTAGCTCATCTCGATCACAAGTAAGTTTTGTTTGGCGGTTGCTTTAATATGTGATTTGCATGTCAAACATCTCATGTCAGATCGTTATATAGAGATTGGATTTAGTGTAGGTTCTAAAACTCAAAATAGTAGTTTTGAAAGATATTAAGGTACGGCTAGAACCCTCATGCGACCCAACAATTGTTGATTGGATCCATTAGTAGAAATAGAAAGTATTATTGCAAAGTTATCTTATACAACTTTTGTTTGTCAATGGCAGGAGTTTCAAAAGCTGGCAAAAGAATGCTATAACGGGTTTCCTAGGCGAGCAGAACATCAAAATTGGCAAACCCAATGATTTCTACTGAATTCAATGAATGGCGTTGCATATTTATAGTTTTGATTTTTGCAGACAATAGCAGGCTCTCATTTGGCCGACCACACTGAGATGTAGTTGACAAATTAGCATCCTATATAGTACCTGGTAGCACTCAATTTTACTGCACAAGTTATGGTTATTGCTAAAGGATATATATTGTCTCGCATCAGTGTTGTCAATAAATGTCATGTTGGATTTGGGCCTTCATCATATAAGATATGGCCCGCCTTGCGCTGGAAACATTTAGAATGCATAAAAATAAGAAACCCAATGCAAGAAAAAATTAAATCAACAATAGAAGATCAAAGAGCCAGCACTTGAGGCAAAGGGCTTGTTAAAAATATTCATCCTTGTATGCGAGGTCATGTGCTCGATTCCGTGTTCGATTCTCCCATCCGCGTCAAAACTTAAATTTGCCTTTCGGAGCCGAAAGAGTGAAATAAAAGTAACAACACTTGGCGTTGGTGATCAAAGCTTTCCGTGGTTTGAGGGGGTGGATTGGTGTCCATACTGATTTGTCGATTATATTTGTCAAACTTTGTGTTGATTATGTTTCTCTTGATTACGTGATTATGCAATGTTGTCAACCAGTCATTATTAAGCTTACGCTTTATCAGACCACGGCCATACTAAGCATGCCAAGCGCATGAACCACGTACATACGACAATATAATAACAAAACTGATAGGGTTGTCATGCACATAAATAGTCTTGCATAGACAGCATTCATTTTTCTAGGGTCAACTCTAAAATTTGAGCTGCAAGCTTTCTTTCTTTTCTTTTCTTTTCTTTTTATTTTATTTTTAAATTTTAATTTTGATGATAATGAATGGAGTGAGAGCAAGACATATGGACCGGGTAGCATAAAATCATTATTATTATTGTTACTTCAACACTTGGTGTTCTTTCAAAAATATTATTATTATTATTATTAGACAAGGCGGTAGTTAAAAACTAGTTTAATGTATATTGAGAGGGTCAAACTTTTGTATAAGAGGACGAGAACATTATATTACTTTAATCAACTAGTCTAATTCACGTTTGCAATAATATAATTTAGTTGAAGATACGGTTATTAAATATATTTTAACTTGTGTTGCTTCTTATAAATTGAAACTTCTTCGTCTAACCATGTATGCAAGATGTACTTCTTTGTAATACTTTTTATAAAGAGCACAACTAATGTGAAAAAAATTTATAAAAAAAAAAATATTTTTAAAAAAAATATATAAAAAAAAAAAAAAAAAAAAAAAAAAAAAAAAAAAAAAAAAAAAAAGAAAATTAAATGATGTCAACGAAGCGACAGTGAGATAACAAAGTATTAAGTAGCCTCCAAGTAATAAAAAGATTATTAGAAACTTAAAAATGAAAGTAAACAATCCCATGCCATTGCCAGTACAGATCAGATAATGCACCTACTCCAGGTCATTGCTTTCATATACAGTTTTCCAACACGTAAGAGGAAAGTCAAAACACTCAAAACCAATCCAAGGGCCAAAACCCTACCTTTCCCACATCGTTGGCAATGCCTCAACCCTTGGATTAAGGACATGAAATTCTTTAAGTATACAGTCAAATGCCTTATAATGCACACGGATTGGTGGTTATTTATAAATAAATATATATTAATGTGATGAGGTTTGAAAAGGTTGCCTTGGGACAGGTGACAACCTATTTATCTTGAGAAATTCCAACTTGGTCTCCAGACAAATGCATGTAATTAAACTAAGGAGCTCACTTCTCTCTCATCCATGCCCCAATTTACCGACCAGGTCACTTTCACAGTAGGGTAATAGATGTTCTTGGGTGAAGACTCAAGAAAATAATGTAGAGCACAAACTATAGAGGAAGCAAGTTTATATATGTCCTCAAGTGGCCACTGGGTGATTTAAGTAGGGCATGGGAGGCAAAACTTGACACGAAACTGACTCCTGTTTTCTGGGCTTTGTCGTTGAGTACTTGATATGCTTCTTTTTATTATTTATTCAAGGATATAAGGACGGGAGGTACATTCTTAACGTGTTTATACATGATAAGATGTTCTACCATTGAAGTTATAAATCTCACTAATGGCAAATGTAGATAGAGCTCGACATCTGACGCAATACAAGCAAATAGATTTTCAAGAGAAAACCTTAAAGAACAGTAATCTGAAATCCACACGAAATTTAGAGAGAAATTATCTTTGAATTATTTTATAAAAGTTGAGATAAATTCAACCAAGCATAACGGCTGACTAAATACAACGTTCTTACCCATTGGACTGTCCTAAGGAGTTATTGAAAACTTAACAGAAAATAAACAGAAAGTCTATAAATTGAATACAATTTTTAAATGCACTTTTGGAAGGCCAAATGACCTCAGAAACCCAAAATTTACCATATGTTCCAGCAAAGCGGTGAGTTAGACTCGTGGCGTCGTCTCCTTTTCGAGAATGTATTATGCTATCCAATCGGAGCTCAAACGTCAAATATGTAAATTCCCAATGCGTCCTTTTTCCCTTTTTCCCTCCAATTCTTCAATCCATTCATCCATTTGTTCTACATCAACATCAATCACAATCATGAACTATATAAAAATAATGTTTGAATGGAAGAAAATCAAGTACTAAAATGTGTTGTATTTTAGAGGAATTTGTTGTACGAGTCATGTTGGAGACTATAGTTAAGTTCATACCAAAACGAATTGAAAAAATGGTAAAGGGTCGAGTTGGTGGGTGCATGGTGCCATTGAAAATTTAAAGGAGAAGACATAAAATCATAAATTGTGAATGGTGCATTGAATAGTTTGTGGTGGAATTTGTTTGGGTAGAGAAATTGATGAGAAGGATAGCTCATGGAACAACATTAATATAGTACCCACCCACTGTTCAAAGTACTACAAGCCTAGCCATCAATGACAAATCCACTGTGACCCATTTATTTCATCACCCACCATCTACAAATAAAAATATTTTGCTCATTATTTTAATTTAAAATGTGTTCTTACGATTCTTCTCAACACTTAACACGTATTTATTGAAATAATTATAATTAACTATTTACTTTGTATTTATGAAACCATAGTTATGCCCATAAACATATGTCAGATGTTAAAAATGATAATAAAAATAAACTTTAAATTTAAATGGTGAACGAGAATGCTCCCATCCACCTCTATGATTTTAAGATTTTGATTATATAAATATAACTTTCCTTGCACGTATTTGCTTCAAACATTTTTCAAGTCTGAATAAATTGGCACTAAACAACATTTCTCATATTTTATGTAGTTTACAAGATCCGGGATGACTAATTAAACAAAGTCAACCTAAAAAAAAAGAAAGATAAATTGTCTGACAAAAAAGAAAAAGAAAAAAAAGAAAGATAAATTGTGGATAGGTGTCCTTCGAGGAAAAATTATTGATGGTGATTGTGAGTTAGAAATTGTCATAATATATATTTGCATGGTCAGGTGCATGCCATGACCCGTTATATCAACAACCCCAACAATTATTCATAGGAGAATTTCCATTCAATGTTAGGCTTACGTTTGCCATTAAATGTGAACAATTGCACTATGAGAGAACAATCACTCAATCATCTCAATTAATATATATATTTTTTTATTATTATTACTCAATCATCTGTTCATGCATGCTACCAGTCTAATGGTCTGCTTGGTTGATGACCATTTCTGTTTTGTATCTGCTTTGACTCCCGATGGCTTTTACTTATTTACATTACTTATTAAGAGGAAAAAAAAATGATTTAACGAGAATCCTCCATCACCCCAACCTCTTTAATTTAGTGAGAATTGTTTTTTTTTAGAGAAAAATATTCTGCAAGAGCCAGGAGACCATGGTTATTATATGTTTTATTTATCCTTTTTTTACATATACGACTATATAAATAAACAGTTGATAAATAAGCCGAGAAAATTATCAACAACAAAAAAAAACAAACAGAGAAATGTCCATTCCCAACACTCCATTTGGACTACAGTGCATGAAGACTGCATCAAGATAGATATATTAAAGTTTAATTAATTTTGGAATTTTTATATTGCAAATGCAAAACGGCACATTGGACACTGTTACTGCCATCACAGTTTTACATTATATATTTTATATTTTGTCTACCGTCCAACTATCATGAGAATTCAGTTGGGATCCCCATATCATATCAAATGTAAATATGACAAGTAAAGAGTAGAAGAATCCCTATGTAATAAATCTGCCCTTTGTCTTTGAATAATCAGAGGTCAAAACTTTCAAACTATCCATCTACTCAGTGATATGATATTTAAATCTATACGCATAAATAACTTTAAATGTTCATATAACAAGTGTATAAAATTACGTTAAGTAAAAGAGTAAGAAAAAGGGGCTTGTAACTCCAACAGTCTTAAATTCGATTCCCCCTTTCGTTACTATTGCTTGTTTAAATAAAAAAAGAGAGTGAAAAAAGTGGATAACAAAGGAAGCGGATAAGAGTATGGTCACACACTGGTACATCCATTGTTAGTGCTCATAAGAAAAGATGAAGGCCTACCTGCATGCCCTACCTACTCAATCCACCATGAATTTGGTTGACCAGATATTTACATGCCAGACACTAGAGACTACACCAACTTCACTTGGGTGCATTTTTATGCTGGAAATATTGGTGAGGAAGGAGCTTACAATTTATTATTGGTATGTTAGAATCCATGAGGCATGAATAGTGGGATTTGGACCCCGTGATGTACGTATTATTCATTTGACAAATCCACTGTTCCAGTAATTATTTTTAAATCTGACTAAAATTTATATTTGATTCTCGTATTTTGTTTTGGTTTTTTCCATAATGGCCGTCGAGCGAGATCCTTTGATTTGGCATGGGCCATGGCATCAAAGGCATTATTATTATTATTATTATTTCAAAGCAAAATATAATATTAGATTAGACAGCGAGCACCTTTGTTTCTCCTCCATCCTGCCGACTCCCGACAAAAGAGAGTTACGTGTCCTCGCGGCGTACGTTAGCAAAGCCCACACCCGGCGTACACGTGTGCAGCCAATCAAACAGAACAGAGTTGATCCCTGAAAGTAAAAAGTTCCCTTTCAGATTTCTCGCGCTAGTTTCAATCCCCTGCCCCGCCAACCCATCATACGAACTCCGGCCTCCGAAAATCTCTGGCGTCTTCCGCAAAATCAACGGTCCTGATTTCTGGCTCGCGGACTCATCAGAGAAAAAGATAGTGGAGGATCGTTACCGCGGAGACTTTGAGAGTGGAAGGGATGAAAGAAACTCGTTAGAGATGGGCCCCACCCCCACTGGATATATATTTATATAAAACACCCCCTTAAAATATAAAACTTTAGATCCCTCAAACGATGACGAAGATGATGGACTTCTTCTAAAGACTAGAGAGAGAGAGAGAGAGAAACAGAGAGCTCATTGATGAACAATTGGCTTGCAGAGTAGAAATTCTCTGACTTCCGCATTGTATCCTCTGCTGCGGCGCACACACGATAATATTTCCCAATTGCTGGCAGCTGGCGTCTGCTTTGTCCGGCGAATCAAAGTTCCGGTCTTGATTGCGATTGGCTTGATGATGATCATGGCGTGGTGAGCTCTGTTTGGAAGGAAGGAAAATATCAAAGGAGATTTTGGGTTTTTTCACGGGAAAGTGACGGAAACGGAAAGTGGTGGTGAGGGACAGGTAAGAAGTGAGGAGGTGAAATGAATTGGGATGGGGTTTGACATTAAATGCTGAAACCAAGCCTATTAATTAGGAGAGAAGCCAAAAACAAAGAGCCCGTTTAATTATTTTGACTCTTTTTCTTTTTTGAACCTACCCTTATATCTCTCCTTCTATCTCTCTCTCATCAAACTCTCTCATGCCTACTTCTTTTTCGGCTCTCTGATTAATCATTTTTATTGCTGCTTTAATTTAACTCTGGAATGTTTCTCTCTCTGTTCTAGGAGCTAAGGTTCATTCTCTCTCCATGTCTCTCTCTGTCTCTCTGTCTCTCTCTCTCTCTCTCTCTAGAATTGAATACTAGTATGACGATCTGAAATTATAAGTAAAGGGGTTATCTTGGCTCTCAATTGAGTTGAATTAAGTTCATTTTGGCACTAATTCTTGTTCTTTTGGGTTTCTGTCTTCTGGGTGCAGTTGTTTCTGAAGTGGGAAAGAGAAAGCTGCTGTTTTGTATACTATCAGATTGAAAAAGGTTTCGTCTTTTTAAGTTTTTTCCTTCTGGGATCTGATTTAGATCTTTTTATTCCGCAACTGTGGTTTTTGGTTTATAACTAGTTGCCCATCTGGGGTTCACCTTTGTAGATTGCAATACTGGGTTTCTCCTTTTTCTTTTATTTGTTTATCTTAATCCCGTAGACTTGGATCTGATCGGTGTGTTTCCTGACAAATTGATGGTGGGAACTGGGAATCTTGTAAAAGGATAGTCTCATCTTATTGGACTTTTGATTTTTATTATTTTACTTTTTATTTGGCTGTTAAAAGTTTGTGGTGCCTCTTATAAAAGGTTTCAACTTTCCCCTTTGTCTTTTTCTACTGTGAGAAGAACTGACTTTGGGACTCCATACTGTCTACCGAAGTTTTTCAGGACGGATTTCTGTTTCCCTCTTTTTTAGTTTAACATTGCTTTTTGTTGTTTTGGTTATTTTCCCCTTTCTTTTTATTTTCTTACAGAACCAAAACAAACTCGATTGGGCTAATTACTTTCTATTTTTTCTTTTGTATGTATGTGATGGAAAACTCGATGTTATAGTAATCCACCATTATCTAATACATTTTCCTTAATAACAAGAGGCAAAAAAAGTGTAGTTTTTAAAATTTTGCGCCACTTTTTTAGATTATTAATCGTTTTAAAGTTCATAAAGTTGGGAGTTAACATGAATCTTGTGATTATGTTTGTGTGCAATCATCTCATTTTTTCCTTTAACTTGAGCATCCTTGTTTCAATTTAAGTCTCCCCGTTATCAAGTTGTTCAAAGTGGGTTTGTATTGAATTGATTGCTAACCTCTATATATTGCATCTTGATGGGCAGGTCCATGCTTGAAAATATCGCTTGCTGTAGTTTGGAAGCTTTCTCCTACATTTCTCAATCTATGTAAACCATGAAACTTGGTAAGAACTGGTTACTTTTCTTATTGGTTTTGATCACTCTGTTGTTGAACTCCTGCAATACGGATCCTGCTTATGGAGACCTTTCAATTGGTTCCTGCATTAAGAATGGGAAATGAACTCTTGCTGTCTTCTACTCTTCCGGATAGTTTTATCTTAATGCATTATGTCAAAATTGCTTAGGTCTATCTTCTTCATTGGGCCTCTGTTTGAGCTTTTCAATAAATAGCATTACTCATCTAGAATGCGTCTTCTTAGTCCCACATTGTCTTGGTGTTGTGAGGGTGCAGTGTGCTTTATGAAGTTGGTGCCCCTAGGGGTCAGAGTACTCCTTTTACGGTGCAATTGGTTTCTTCCTTTGTAACCATGATCTCAAGTTCTTTTACATATTTTAAAGAAAAATGATTACTGTGGTCTTCAGATTTCACCGGCATTGATAATTTTGATGTACTTTACAGAGAGAGAACCAGCGTTTGGCCACTTAGCTTTAAGCCACAAGCCTGATTCTAATCCTTTTGGTCAAAATGACATTACTCTGGACTCTGCTGCATTACAGTCAGCAAAGTGGATCATGAAGGAAAGTCAGAACAGGGTTTCATGTGGTTCGAAGGACAATGAAGAAGATGCTGGTCAAGTACCATATGTGAAAAATGATGAAAATGGCTTGCCTACATCGAGGTTTGATTGTTCAAAGAGTGTGGATGATTTGGAAAATGGTAATGAAGATGAGGTCAAAGATTTTGTGCCGCCATATACTCTTTCTTCTGAAAAATTAGAAGCATTAGAGAAGGAATCAGATTATTATATGGACAAAAGTGTTATGGAATGTGAACTGCCAGAACTGATAGTTTGTTACAAAGAGAGTAGTTGCAATACAATCAAGGACATCTGCATTGATGAGGGAGTGCCTTCCCAAGACAAGAACCGGTTTGAGACTGGTGTGGATGAGAAGGAATGCTGCACCTTTTTATCTCCTGATGAGGATCAGAATAAGCAACTTCTTGAAGAACAAATGGATATCGTTATGACCCTTCCGGACGGTTTTAAATCTTCTGCACACGATGATTTAGAGAAGGGTTTTGTCATTCCTTGCGATTCCAAGGATCTGACGCAGATAGGCGATGCTATATATTATACACAGGAGAAGACTGAAATTGAAGTTTCCAAAGAGATTTTTGTCCCTGAAAATGTGTTGCCAATGCAAGAGTTGGGTGCAGGGAACGCCCACTCCTCCAAGTCTTCTAATGAGGACAGCACTGAAGCTGTACAAGACACTGTTCAGGTATATCTCTACCCAAGTACATGTCTGCGGTTGTACTGTGTAACTGACAGCTCTATAACGATCTCTTTCTACTAGAATATTTTTAAAATTTCTCAGTGGAAGTTAAAATTTCAGCTTGATGTTGAGGAAAACTATATTTTATAACTTGATGTAGTTTCCTGTGGTTTTAATGCAGATTTCAGGTGAAAAAGTAAGTGAAATAGCACAAACTGGGAGCACTGCTGTGGTTTCAGTAACTGAAGAGTCTAGTCACGGTGAGAAGAAAGCATTGGTTTCAGCAGCTGAAGAATCAAACTTCCATGTCGATGAGTTATCTAACAATAGCAAGGTGGAGAACGGAAGCACTACTTCTGGCTTGTTGGACACTTCAGTACATGTATCCACTACCATAGATGCATGCCCTGAAAATGATGTCCGCAAACATTTTGAAACTCAAACGATGCCTGCAGGTGATGATGGCGATGACAACGACAGCAACATGCCTGATGCAGAGATTGTGCCAAGCCAAGTTCAACCTTGTTCAGCACTTGTGGTTACTGGCAGAGAGGAGTGTCCTGAGAATGGAGTCTGTCAACCTCTCGATACTTCAAGTACGTCCATGGTTGATGATGAAATTCCTCATTCAGTGATTGTTTCAAGCCAAGTTCAACATTATTTAGCACCTGTGACTATTTCCAGAGAGGAACGTCCTGAAAATGGTGTCTGGCAATGCCCTGAAACATCAAACGCATTCGTGGTTGGAGATGTGAATTCTGATACACAATATGCTTCATTCCATGTTCAATGTGGTTTCGGAGAATCAAGTTTCTCTGCAGCAGGTCATTTTTCGAGTCTTATGAATACATCAGGTCCTTATTCCGGCAATGTCTCCCTTCGATCAGAGAGCAGCACCACCAGCACCCGCTCATTTGCCTTCCCTGTGTGAGTTACTCACAAACTCGTTTGTCTGTCTTTTTCTTTTCAAACTGTTAATAAAGTTCCCAGAATATACATGACTGAGACATTGATATATCCTCTTCCTCTTTGGCATGCAGTTTACAATCTGAATGTAATAGCAGTCCAGTTAGAATGGCAAAAGCTGACCGGAGGCATTTGCGTAAACATAGGGGTTGGAGGCATAGTCTTCTTTGCTGTAGATTCTGAATATGCTTCTATTCTAACCATAGTTTTAAGTTAAGTCAGAGTACATGCTTCATCAAAAAAATTTATCATCAATACATACATCACATTTTCTCCGTCTTGGTATGTAATTTGCAGTAGGTTTTTAGGTGGTGGTGCTTTTTGTTATGCGTGCACTTTAAGGTGTAAGCAATAACTTATAATTTTCTTCTTTATATTTCATCCATTTATTTTTTCTTTGGAAAATTATAGTTATTGTAAAGTTCTTAATAGGCCAAATAATCCTGTTTATATTGGGCTTTGGATGGTTTGCTTGTTAAAGGTGGGTTCAAACCTTATACCAATCCGACCCAACTCTTACAGCGGCCTAACGTGTTCGTAGTTGGTGGCAATTGCAGCTCAATACTAAAATATTCAAAACTGGTTTGTTTAATTTAAATTTTTATGAAACTCGAGCTATATTATTTGTCGATAGCTTGTACAATCACCATAACCCGAGCCTATTATGAATCGCCACGTGGCTATAGCAGATCACTTGTCTACTGACCCGACTATACATGAAACATGTATAACCATCGTCGACCTTCCCAGTTAGAGGGTGACGAACCCAAGGAGTAGTCTAGTGGTTGGGTGTTTAAAAGTCTACCCGACCTCTAAGGCAAGCATCCTCGGGCCCGAGGTGACAAGATCCACCCCGAATTTCCTCGGAATCTGGGACGGACCTCGCCTAATTACCGACATCAACCCGATGCCGGGCTCACTTACTAAAGATTGAGACTTTCTACCAAATTTTAACCTTTTGAATTGGAAAATTAAATAGAGTCGGGGTGTTACACGAGGCGCTCTAAAAGGCTAGCAGACCTGACCAAGCCCCTATCAAGCCGATTAGTTTTTGTCCCTACGATACACATGCTGGCTAACATGACGGTTGATTAAATGCACATCCCGTCCTCAAACAGGTGTCGCCGTATCCATTGATCTCAGAGTGAACATGCAGGTGATGGAAAGAAATCATTTAATTCACCTCTCATCCTTAGTTGCCTGTTACTTCGCCACATGACCTCTGTCCAGCTATATAGTGATCAGAGACAGAATATTCAATGCATTAGGCTAGGGAGACAGGAGATAAAGATCTTTTCTAAACAAAATATCTTGATCCCCTCTTCTCCCTATAAATACCCTTCACATACACCAGGATAAAGGTAATAAATCCTCCCATAGTAAAAAACCCTACATCCATTCTCTTTCCAGCTCAAGTTAGTTTATGACTTAACCATCAGCGACAGTTAGATTGGGATAAGCCATAGTCCGCCCTTATTCTAATATTGCTCAAAGTGTGCAGATTTTCTCTTGGAGATTATCTATACTCAAAGGTCCAGTACGGGCCCTAGCCCTCGAATAGGGCCCAAATCATTTATACGAGAAGGATACGCGGTTTACATTATTATCACAAGAATTCTATAGTGAGGATTTTATATATGGCATTTAGGTGAGGTCATATCTCTTAATTGTTGGATTAAATTGGTTAGCTTGATCCAGCGGTTAAGAGATAGGACCTTACTTAAGGATTATATATAAAGGCCCTCACTATACATAAGACACATAATAAGGTCATGTGTTCTTGTTAGCAAGGTTCATTAATTTTTCAGTCAAGCTCGAATTTGTTGACGTTCGATTACATTGGTATGATGACTTGGAATGACCAAGTCTAATATAGCATGGAGGTGAAGCCAATGCCCATGAAAAGAAAAGCAATTTCTCAAGATCAATTGAATGATCCATTGAGATCATATGTGAGGTGGGCTTGCACCTTTTGAAAACAGTCGAATATTTTCTTTCTCCCAATGTCCAGAAAAGGGTTGAGCCATACTTGAAGCTAAAACAGGTCTTAACATTTTGGGATGATGGATGAAGATGTTTGAATTCACATTTAACATTTGTTATAAAACAGAAACCAAGTGTGGAAGGAAAGGGCCCTACTGAATACTAGTATATAGTAGGTGACAAGACCAACCCAAATGGTGTGAAACCTTTTTAGAGGAAAGAATAGTTTACACAACTTTTCCATCTACTTGTATTGGAACTCTCTGTTTTGTGCTTTGTGTATCCTCTCTCTCTCTCTCTCTCTCTCTCTCTGGGTTGCCGACCACTACTACCATTGATTGATATAAATTCCAAGCCACACCCACAAAAGAAGTATCCTTATTCTCAATTAAGCTTAGATAGTATGGAGCTGGTATTCTTCATTATGCTCTGCATTTTAGTCCTGTCTTTCTCTGCTTTGCTAACACCCTGCACTTCTTTGCATATTCAACTGCAACCATCGAATAAACAAGCTGCAGGTACTCCTCTCTCTCTCTCTCTCTCTCTCTCTCTCTCTCCACATATATATATCAAGATTATAGCAAGTCTTACATGTTGCCTTTTTACATTGTGAGCAGCGAACGACGAACTCCAATTCTCTCTCCCTACATTGCCAAGGAAGCTTAGATTCACTGAAAAAGTAACTGTAAGAATCCTTTCCTCAGAGTCTAAACAATAGAAGAATCTTCCTATTCGTCCTATCTCTCCTTAACTTAATCTCCATATTCTGTCACGCAGATTGCCGGACAAGAAGGTAGAGATTATGCACCTCCCAACAAGCAGAAGGAAAATGTTTCAGCCGCAGGTATATATAGATATATTCATTCATAAAACCTGTTTATTTTTTTCATGACGCTTAAACTTAGCATTTATCTTCTTCTTCTTCTTCTTCAGTATTGATAACATTAACAGAATGGGGTTTTAGGAATTTTTGTCAGATATGTGCTGAATTAATCTTTATTTTCCGCATGGCTTTTTCAGGTGGTAATGATATTAAACCAAAATTCCAGAAAGAAAAAGAAAGTGTGCAAAGAAGCAGCGGAACATGGCAGGAATGGATGGAAGGGGGAGACACATCAGAGTTCTTCACAATGGATTATTCCAAAGTAAGAAGACGACGCCCCATACACAACAAGTCCCGCCCAGAAGTTTCTCCATAAAACATGCATGCATGCATGCTGCCATGGTCGACCATACAACAAATTAAAAGAGAAGAGATGATAGATATCAACAAAACTTTTAACTTTCGGTATTTATAGAAATTAATTATTAATGTTGTTATTGTAATATATAGTAGCGAAATGAGGAGAGTGTTTTGTTAACCAGCTCTTGTGGCCGACAACAGGGAGCAAAACCCTAGATTTGTTACTAACTAGGACGACCCTTGTCTTCCAATTAAATTAATTTATGTTCTTTTTGTTGAGTTGGTAGGTCTTTCGTTAGCAGTCAAACGGGGGCTACAAACCCCAACATTTGGTAACGTGGTCTCTCTCTGTCACACAAATTACAAAACTTATATATAGTTAATTATAGCATTAGGTGGAACCTAACCCAACTAATTTATAAGATTACTTTGAGGCGAACAGGATCCTTTTAACTTGTATATCAGTGATTTCAGATGATGCATTTGTAATATACAAATGCGTTTGAGAAATTTCATCTTTTTTATAGTTTAGATTACATCACTTGTATTAAAGCACACAAAATTATTTCGAACTTGATCATAGCAAACAAGTTTTGTTATATGTAGTGTAGCACAAGTGGGGGTTACCTTACCAGCATCCTCGCTGCAATCCATGCTCTACGGTGCCGTACATATTTGGCACATGTACTTGTCAACTAGTTAATTAAGCTTAGCTGCTTAATCAAGGGAATTATTATATTATTGTATATGCATGCGTTTTCAAGGGTGCCGTAGATCGATAATTCCAAAATGTTGACCAAGTTCCGTTTGAGTGGAGGTCACGTTTGCCACAAGGCCATCGACTCCCTTCTCTATGAGTTTGTTTGACGGTTTAAATCTATTAACTTTTTTTCTTTCTTGAAATATGCATATATAAGGGGGTGCCGATTAAAAAATGAGTGTTGTTATTTGGACCGTACGTATTTGCTATCATATGCTATGTGGCATGTTGAATTGTAGTTGTGTTAGGAAGATATGGAATCTAAAAAATGAATGGAAAAATTGTTAGATTCTTTATGGCACGTCGAATTAATATTGTGTTACGAATATAAGAAATTTAAAAGATGAATGTAAAAAGAGTTCGATTCTCTATTAGTACTGTATATTGTACTCAAAATTACATTGTTTCAATGTTTTATTTTATTAAATTATAACAATGTAATTGTAAATAAGTTCTTTTAATATCTAAAATCTCATAAGTTGTCCTTACAGATATTTTATATGTGCGTTCGCTATTGAAAAAAAAGAAATTTTTTATATAATTTTGATTTTGTTACAAAAACTAAAGAGATTGTGGAGAGAATTTAGAGACAGAAAAAATATAGGATCAATTCCTATAACTCAAATCTTATTCAATCTGTATTACGAAAGGGATTGTGAACCCATTTATAGGCAAAGCTTAGCCCAATAATCAGAGAAGTAAGGTGTAAGAGAATTTCCTTCCAAGATGTGGGCTCCACTCTCATCATTTTACAACAGATTTTCTTAAATGATTTCATATTCACGGAAAAAGAGAAAAGAATTAAAGTAAGAAAACGACCGGTACATATGGTAGTTAACGACAGGCGTTTTATAGCTAGCGTGGGCAGCGCGCTTTCAAAGATAAATGCAAACAATACGACGTCGTGGGGTGCACGGTGCACCATCTCCGCTAAATCTTGAGAAACAGAGTAGCTAAGTAAGACTGGGACAAACCAGGCAAATAATCCAATCCGAAAGCAACGATCAAAAAAGGGACTAACAATGGAAGACTTATGGAAGCGAGCGAAGAGTTTCGCTGAAGAAGCAGCCAAGAAATCTCAAACCCTAACCAACTCCGCCAAAATCACCGACCTAGTCTCCGAAACCGCCAAGCGATCCCGCGAGTTCGCGGCCGAGGCGTCGAAGAAAGCCGACGAGATCAAAACGGCGGCGCTTAAGCAAGCCGATCAGATCAAGTCCCTCTCCGTCTCTGAGATCATCCCCCCTCAGCTCTCCTCGCTCTCGATCGTCAATTCCGCCTCGGCCTCCGCCGTTGAGCCGCCGTCCCCGTCTGAACTCAAGAAATTTGGAATCACCGACGATCTCAGAGACTTCGTCAAGGGACTCACTTCCGATACCTTCAAGCACTTTCCGATCCAAGGTATTTGCTAATTTCAGCTCATTTATTTTTTTAAATTTAGCTCAATTACTTGAAATGAGCAAATGTGCGTTGTTCGAGTTGTTTCAGATGCAGCAGAGGAAGTCTCCGAGGTGCCGACTACGGCCTCGAATGTGAGGAAAGATCTGACGGAGTGGCAAGAGAAGCATGCCACTTTCGTTCTCACTACTGTTAAGGTCAGTTCGTGTTTCTCTATCAGTTTCAATTTTGATTCAACGCAATACGGGCAGTGTTTAAGCTCAATGCAATACATGTGAGGTGTATTTCGAAATATGATTTGCGGATATATCGTACAAGATGTTGAAGAAAAGTGTTGGAACATTGTATTGATATCTTTCTGTACTTGTTGATTTTTTTTAGTTTCTTTTGTGAATTTTACATCTCTGCATAAATGCTGATTGAGCGTCGATGGTTATGTTATTTGGAATTGAGTATCTTAAAGTTTAGTGCCTGATTTTTGCTGGTGCAGAAATTCTTTCCTTTGTGCACCCAAATCAAAGCACGATGTACTCATGTGTTCTAGTTATTACTGATTACTTTCTTGCAGGAAATTTCGAGGTTGAGATATGAATTATGCCCACGTGTTATGAAAGAAAGAAGATTTTGGAAGATATATTTTACCCTTGTGAGCAGTCATGTAGCTCCGTAAGTAGCAATTCATTTCAGTTAACCATTGCTTAAATTGGCGGTTTAATCAAGCTTAAGTTAATGCCAATGTGCAATTATATTAATGAAAATCTTATGTGAATATATGTGTGTTTTGGCTGGTATAAGTGATCAATACTATTAAACAAGAGTAGCAATCTTGTTTCAGTACAAGAAATACGCATGTCTTGTGACCGTATAGTTCATGAAAGATTTAAAGATGGTTATCAACACTTAGTGAAAAGAGGAAGCACAAAGAATAGATCTAGACACTCTTTAGTGGGTGTCTCAATTGTTAGCCTTTTGCTTATATGACTATGAACTTATGACCAGATATGAGAAGCAATACATGGAGGAGATGAAGGTCAAGGAAATAGAGCAATTAAAAGATGATACTGTGAAGCCAACACCTGTAGTTGGAGGGACTGACCAAGCAGAAGGATCAGAAAAGAAGAAGTTAGCTTCCAAGTCATCATCAGCTGAGCAGGATTTGGATAGTTTCCTCTTGGGTGATCTTGAAGACAGTGATGGGGGTCCAGGTTTAGTTCCTATACTCTTTCACTTCTGGCCGAGTTCAAATACCATTCAAGTTCTTTCATAGTGTAGCATGTGTATAAATTTGCACCATATACCATTCAACTTATTCCACTAAATTCACATTTCCATTGAATTTTCGTCTTCAATCCAATTAAGAAACTGAAATCCTTGAGCTGGTATGGAATGGCCAAAAGAAAGGTTGGATGAGGTTAGAGTCCCTTGTATCTTACATAAGAACATTTTGAAGGCACAAGCGGGTGGCATGGTAACTAGCAATTGTTTAATCCGGTGTGTAATAGAAATATTTTATTTAATTGAGGACCTGACAGATTGAAATACTTAATGAAAAACTGATGGACATGTTTCAAATTTCATGTCAATACAGTAAACTGGTGTTATTCTCATGAGCAGTTTATTTGTTGTATGTTTTCTTTGATTAAAGGTCTATCCTTACCTTACCTAGTGAATCTGTGTATAAGCTATGTTGTGGACAAATCCTTACTAGTCTTTAAAAGTCATACCTTTCCACATTTCCTTTCTAGTTTTCCTTGAACTACTCTGCGACAATCTGCTCTTTCTCTAGGTTTTCCTTTTTGTGCACTTTACCCTGGTTTGTTGACAATTTTGTAATTTTGTACTTTCAGATGATGCTGAAGCCGATGGTAGCTTTGATGATGATTTTGACAAGATTGAAAATTCGGTAAACTTCATTTAACCCATGACTCAACTATGCAACATTTTTTTTTGTGTAAATTTCCAATCCTATGGCGTATCTTTCATGTATTTTTCTGTCAGCTTTTACATTAACCTTCCACTTCAGTTTTACCAACTTGTTTGAAACTGCTTGCCGGGAACATTTGTGCCATAAATAAAGTACCGTGCGAATAACTTGTTCAATTTTAATGGGAACTTGCAGGATGTCGAAGATGAGAAGCATGCGAAGAAATGACAACTGCTACAGAAGAAAATATCGACCGGGCTTCTGGAAGACTGTAAGAAATAGATGCCATATGAAGAAGGGAAGGATGTCAAGCAGTTTTCCGTTATCTCAAATTTTTTAATTTTTTTAGTTGTAGAGTTGATTACTTTGTAAAACTCGAAGTGAGAGATGCCATTTAAAGTCCATTCGTTTGTTATATTTTCCCTAGACATTGACGGATACTGATGCCCGTTTGTCTCCGAACGGGGTCGACCCTAATGCATTTCCTGTACAGAACAGATGACCCGATTATGTTAAATATGCTTCTTTTTACATAGTCAGTAAATTCGCTTCTACTCGAATATGGGACTTCAGGTGCAAGATGTTCTAAACCCCTTGACCTACAAGCTTCTTGCAATGATTTGTGGAAGTTTTAGTAAATGAATTATGAAATATCTCCGGAAGTTATTATTATTATTTTTTGTCAAACCTCCAGAAGTTCAATATTTGCTGTCACCGTTAAGAAAAAAAAGAGGAGGGGGGGTGTGGAAACCTAAATGATTTTATCTTTCTAAAAGAATAAAAGGAAAAAGAAAAGTGGAGCTATGTTGGGTCATTTACATATAATACTCCCTCTGGTTTCAGTCTCTTCGCTTGGACCTGGAGGCTTCATGGCTCTTCTTTCTGTCGTCCTTAAACACAAATGCTCAATCAAAAGGTCCTCTTTGTCTCTATCTTTTTGCTTATTCCCCAACATATCCTCCTCCCTCTTCTCTACACACTGCAGAGGCCACCCCTTCTCACCACCACCCCCGCCAGCCACTCCTCCGCCAGTCCCAAAGAAAGTCCCCTTCACAGTCTCAGTTCATGGGAGATCGTGGCAAGACCCCTACCACTGGATGTCCAACACCAACGACCCTGATCTCTCTGAGTATCTTAACAAAGAAAACGCATATTCTGAAGCTTTCATGGCTGACACTGGCAACCTGCAACGCACTCTCTTCTCTGAGATGACACGTCGGATGCCCACCAAGATTTCCACTCCTCCTGAGCGCTGGGGACCCTGGTTTGTTCATTTCCCACCTACCCATTTCATATTCTTGGAAAATTTGCCTGCCTTCTTACTCTAGAGTATGTGAATTTTCCTTTTAAAAAAATGACTTTGAAAGTTGCATTGTGCTATAATAAGAAAAGGCTGCAACTTTATTAAAAAGAATACACATTAATACATTAGCAAAGGAAATGTGGGAGGAGGAAGTGGAAATGTATAAATAACAACTTTGCGAATGTGCCAATGAAAGCTTTTGGTTGTGCTTCTATTTTTTTGAATAATATATATTTAAAACATGAAAATAACTTGTCAATAATATCGTTTGTTAAACTCGAACAGGTTGTATTACCAATACATTCCAGAGGGGCAGGAATACCCGGTTCTTTGTAGAAGATTAGAAGTTGAAAAACTTAATTGGGTTAAGACTTTTCTCCGTTATGCAAAAGGAGAATTTGGAATTGGAAGGGAGGAAATTTTGCTTGACTGGAATGAAATCGCAGAGCAATATGGAAAGCTTCTTTCTTACTTTCTTACCTTCATTGTCAATATTTATTGAGTTATACGCTGTATTTGGTTTATATGCACATTTTCTTTTGTTTTTAACCTGGTATATTTTCATTACATCAGTGATTTACTGAATTTATATACCTTAATTGCAGGTTATGTGCATGTTGGTACATGTCGAATTTCACCAGACCACCTTTATCTAGCTTACACACTGGATACTAAGGGTAATGAACGGTTCATGCTTCAAATTAAGGACCTAAGAAGCGGATGTATTATCCCCAATGTACGAGTTGATGATGTTGTTAGCTTGGCATGGGCCCAAGATGGGAGAACTCTGTTCTATACACTATCAGATGAGACTCAACGACCTTACAGGCATACTTCACCTCTGTTACGTATCCATTCTTTTCTTGAGATGATAGTATTACCTCACCTTTTTGTCTTTTTGGCAGAGTATGCTGCTCAAAACTAGGATCTGATGATATTGAAAATATCACTGTATTTACAGAAAGTAATCCCAGCTTCTGTGTGGATATAGCAAGCACAAAAGATGGCAAGTTTATTACTGTCAATTCAAACTCAAGGACTTCATCTGAGGAAGGAATTTTACTATTTAATTTTTTAAATTTATTTATGGAGTATTTACTTTGAAAACATTCTCCTTTGGTGAGGCTAATTTTTGTGGTTTAACTCACACAGGTTTATTTGATAGATGCTGCCAACCCATTAGATGGTTTGCAGAAAGTTTGGAAGCGTGTTTCTGGTGTACAGTTTTTTCTGGAACATCACCACGGATTATTTTATGTTCTTACAAATGCTCCTTTGAGTGAAAGTAAAAAGTGGTCTGGTGAAGGTTATTACCTAGCCAGCTGCCGTCGTCAAGATCTATTATCATCTAATTGGCAGGTAAATTCTGTTCTCATTCATGAATCTTAAATATGGACGTATGGTGTTCTCTACTTTGTGATGTTAACCATACTTTAAGTTCTTCACTATGGAATCTCTCTTGTATTTTCATGCCCCATTTCTCATAGTGACATACTTTTTTCGTTTTAGAATATCTTCCTTCCAAGTAAAGATTTTAGCATACAAGATATGGATATGTTTGATGGACATCTGGTCCTTTCTCTCAGTAAGAAGGGTTCTTCTATGTTTTGTTCCATTGATTTGCCTATCGATGTTGATTGTAAGGTATTGATCTCTCTCTCTGCTTAGTTACATTTTTGGTTATGGATAACGTACAAAAAGTATAATGCACATAATGTTGCTACTTTTATCTCTTCTACATACAAATACATTTCTCCTTAATTTGCTACGTTTATTGGCTTGATTGGCAGCACCTTTTGGAGCCTGAAGATCTTAATGCATGGTTTTTCCCTATGCCCCCAAATTCATGTACTGTTGTTTCAGGTTCGAACCATGATTTCCAGAAATCAGTATACCGTGCGGTGCTTTCGTCTCCTGTGGTACACTTTATAAGTTTGATTATGAGCGTTTTATTACTTTAAACTCTTCATTTGACTTTCCTGCCTGTATGATTCTTTGTCCGTTCTTTGGAAATTTGCAGATGCCTGATGTAGTTGTTGACTACGACATGTCAAGCAGGAGATTCTCAATTGTGCAGCAAGAGGAAGTGATACATTTTTGTGATAGAACATGCCCACCAACTAATCAGCTAGATATGAATCAAACTTTTGACACACAATATGAGAAGGAAGAAGATGTGCAGATAAGTGAATGGCGGAGATGGAAGGACTATTCTGATACATATTGTTGTCAGAGGAGGGAAGTTATTTCCCATGATGGTGTTAGAGTTCCTTTGACCATATTGTACTCTCATACAACCTGGCGTAAGGATCAGTCGCCTGGCCTTCTACAAGGCTATGGAGCATATGGGGAGGTTTTATGTGGAAGCTGGTGTGCAGAGCACATGAGTTTACTTGATCGGGGATGGGTTGTGGCATTTGCTGATGTGAGGTTATTTTTTTTTCTTCCCTTTTAATGAAAGATCAATTGAAACAACAAAGCTAAATTGATGCATTGAATTAAAACCAATAATGTGTTTCAGCCTTCAAGTTGCTTTTGTTTTCTTTTGTTAGGGGAGGGGAAGGGGGGTTGAGCTAAAGTTGGATGTAACTTTTTCTTTTTAAAAATGACTATCTCTGTTTTTGTGTGTGGCTCAATTTGAACCTGTGTATGTGCAACTTTCTCATCTTACATGATATCATGTAATTTTGATTTTAGTTATTTCAAAGTCTGTCCAATATCTTAGTTCATCTGCTTCAATACTTTAATATCAATTGTGTGTTTAAAACTCAAGCATATCATTATGCACTAGCCTAGAATAAGTTCAATCTGTGATGTATTCTAAAATGTGTATGCTCTAGCCTAAATCCCATGTGATTGTACTTTCTTAGCTGAAAAAAATGTGCTGTTGCTTGTCATTTTTTCTTTTTGGGGGTTAAATAATTTGACGTGGTTGTATGGACAGGGGTGGTGGTGGAGATTCTTCATGGCATACATCTGGCAGTGGGTCGTATAAATTGAATTCAGTCTATGATTTTGTATCATGTGCAAACTACCTGATTAAAGAGGGCTATGTACATAAAGATCGGCTTGGTGCTATTGGACATAGTGCTGGAGGTCTTCTTGTCGGGGCAACTATCAATATGTACCCAGACCTCTTTCGTGCTGCTATTTTGAAGGTTAGTGTTTTAAAGCAAAACATTTATCGTCTTTGTCATCAGTAGTACTCTGGGTCAATGAAGTTGGACTTCCAGCCATCAGCCCTTCAGCAATATTTCTTTTCTTTTATGGTAGAGAAGAAATGCATTGTATCTGCTGTTGCTAATGTGAATCGATTTTTGTGTCAAATTGTTACATTGTTGGTACTGATGTTTTGGTGATATTTTTTTTCAGGTTCCATTTCTTGATATATGCAACACTTTAATGGATCCGAGTTTGCCTCTCACCATTCTGGATTATGAAGAATTTGGAAATCCTCAAATACAGTCCTCATTTGAGCATATCTTCAGTTATTCACCTTATGATAACATTTCTCAAGGCAGTTGTTACCCTTCAATGCTTGTTACAGCGTCTCTTCATGACTCAAGGTAAGTTCATCTTGTGCTTTCTGTATACTAGTTACTTGCATAAATAAATCCACACATGCGTGCACACACGCACACACTTATTCCCATATACTTACGGTGGTTGCATTTTATAAATTAATATCCATTTCTCAGGGTTGGGTTTTGGGAAGCTGCCAAATGGGTGGCCAAAGTTCGAGATGGTACATGTCCTGGTTGTTCTAGTTCAGTCATTCTGAAGACAAATATGGCTGGAGGGCATTTTGGCGAAGGTGGACGGTATCATCAGTGTGAGGTAGCTGCTTATGATTATGCGTTTCTAATCAAAGCTATGGGGATGCTGAGGACTGAAAAACAAGACATGCAATGCACTGTGGTCACAAAAGAATCAAAGGTAGGTTTCACTGAAGTCCCTGGTGGAGAGTGAAGTTTCCAGTATTTTGCTGAGGCTTTGAGTAAGTTCAAACAAACGAGAGCATTTTCCCTCTTTGTGCAATATGTATGAGTTTTTCCCTCATAGTTACAATGAAGTTGCTAGGAGATCCACTTCCTTCTTGTCTGCAGTAAAGGACTGAAGCTAGATTGATAAGCTTTTCTGAGTTAAGGCATCCCCATTTTCTTCTTGACCAGCGCTGCAGGACCAAGGTGGCATCTGATTTGCACATCCAAGCAGAACCATGAAATCATATTTTGGTAGTGTTGTTTGATTTAGTATTGGCTAAGGATCAGTGAGCAATTTCTGTACTAACACAAGAATGCACTTTTAAGTTTAGACTGCTTAAATATAGCCTATAGGTAGTTCTTCAGGGATGATTATACACCTGCTAATTTTATATTAATTGATAAATCGATTGATGATTTAGCATTTTCTTCTTATAAATGAAATAAATAAATGCAAGAGGTCATCAAAGCAAAACGGATTCTTGGAATTATTATTTGATTGCAAATTGATTCATGGAATTATTATTATTATCTGATTGGTTCATGGACCACACATATAGAAAGATGCATTTTTCTTCAGGTTGAACTTATTGTCAAAAGGGACCCATAACGATTGTGCTATGTCTCTGTCTCAAATGTTGAATCCCTAGAGAGTCTGATATTACACGTTTTGAATGTGTAAAGATGACCAAATTGCATGTAAAATACAATCAACTGGAAAGGAGGTGTTGGTCCAAATGTTCAAGATTGAAAAACTGGGTTTTGATTCCACAAACGTAACAATGAAAATTAACACCACCTTATTGCCTGTGTTACTATTTGTTTTCAATCATAAATTTGGGCACATAACTATTGCTGGTTGCAATTTCCCCTGTTTTTTTTGTTGAGCAATATTAATGGTTATATTGCAAGGTCCCTGTTTTTTCATTTATGCCTCAAGCAAAATAACAGGAAAATAGAATGAATGAATGAATGAAAATGTCAAATTAATTCCTCAATAAATCATAACCCTCTAATTTCCTTCTTTAAAAGTGTTACGTCTTAGACTCTTTCAGCTCACTCACTCCTAAACCTACATGGTCCTAAGTTTAACTTTGAGCCAAACCCAACATTGCATCTGTTCTTCTGATTTAAAGTACATTCAGAAACATATATATGTTCTTTTGTGACACATACAACAATACTATATCTATATCCTAAACTAATTATCATATACTTGTGTATCCACTATCAAAGTTTTCAGGAAATGGATAAAAAGGATGACCCGAAGGACCACGAATTCGGGGAGGTGAAGAAGGAGAAGCCGTTAAACACTAAGATCAGGTACTTGAGGTACACCGGAGCCATCAAAGCTGAAGTGTTGAAGGGTTTGATTGCTGGAGGGATCAAAGCTGAAAAGTTGAAGACTTTTATAAATTGGAGCATCAAAAACGAGAAGCTAAAGGGTTTGGTGATTTCTAGGACACGACTGGCGCGGCTGAAATTGTGGGCGGCACGAGCCACAACCGTGCTGCTACTGTGGGCTATAGCAATGCAGCTCAAGGCATTGGGAGAGAACTTGCTGCCATGGATATCTAAAAGCTCTTTTCCACCACAAAGTACGGTAGCCTTCTCATGCATGGCATGCATATGCTTCACCATATTATTATTTTCTGTGAAAATGAAACGTTTTTGTTTGTGATTATTTTTCAGGGGTTTATGAGAACAATGGATATTTGATGGTTTCATCCAATGGAGGACTAAATCAGATGCGATCTGGTGTAAGTAATTAATTTGGTCTTTATAAATTAAATTTGACCATTAATTAATTTAATCTTTGTTACGATTGCTGTATATGCAGATATGTGACATGGTAGCTATTGCAAGATATATGAATGTCACGCTTATAGTTCCTGAAATGGATAATACCTCCTTCTGGAACGACCACAGGTGAGGCTATAGCTAAGCTATAGCTGCAGCTTCATCTTAATTATATATAATATATATGCTAACCAATTAATTAATTATATATGGCAGTCAATTTGAAGACATATTGGATGTGGATCATTTCATTGCATCATTGAGAGACGAGGTTCGGATATTGAAAGAATTGCCTCCTGAGCAGAAGAACAAAGTGGAATTAGAATCCCTTTATTCCATGCCCCCCATTAGTTGGTCTAACATGACATACTACCATAACACGGTTGCTCTCTCTCTCTCTCTCTCTCTGTGTTTAAATATTAATTGTGTTACATGCCTACTTAACTACACAGATCATTCCTCGCATGAAAACATACGAAATTGTGCACTTCACTAAAACTGATGCTAGGCTTGCCAATAATGGGATTCCTGGAGAGGTTCAAAAGCTCCGGTGCCGAGCAAATTACCAAGCTCTGAGATTTGCTCCTCCAATTGAGGAACTTGGCAAGAAAATCGTTCGGATTCTCAGGGAAAGAGGCCCTTTCTTGGTCCTTCATCTCAGATATGAAATGGACATGGTAGCATTCTCTGGCTGTAGAAGAAGAGATTGAAGAGACCACCAAAATGAGGTAACTGATTAATATACATACTGTACATCATCTTAAAAATTCCTCTTGTCATGCAGTTTGGCGTGTTACCTTGTCAGATTGTCAATATGAACCATGGATTAAGTAAATTCTTTTTATATATGTAAGATATGCATACCCCTGGTGGAAAGAGAAGGAAATAGATTCAGAGAAGAAAAGGAAAGCAGGATTGTGCCCTTTAACCCCTGAAGAAACTGCACTAGCGTTGAGGGCACTTGACATTGATCCTAATATCCAAGTCTATATTGCTGCTGGAGACACATACAGGGCTGAGAGGAGAATGGCACCTCTGAAAGAAGCTTTCCCAAACTTGGTAATTAAACTTCATTTTATTGCTAATTCATTTCAATTCATATGTAATTTTGGTAATGAAAACTTGGTTTCTAACTAAACAGGTGAAAAAGGAGACATTGGTGGAAGCATCAGATCTTGTGCCCTTCCAAAACCATTCAAACCAAATGGCAGCATTGGATTATTATGTGTCGATAGACAGTGACATTTTTGTGCCAACATATGGAGGCAACATGGCAAAAGTAGTGGAAGGGCACAGAAGATACTTGGGGTACAAGAAAACCATTCTTCTAGACAGAAGGGTTCTGGTTGATCTGATAGACCAGTACAACAATGGAACTCTGAGCTGGAACCAACTCTCAGTTAGAGTGAAGGCTGCTCATGCCGACCGCATGGGAAACCCTACTACAAGATTGGAGGTTCCAGGAAAACCCAAAGAAGAAGATTACTTCTATACAAACCCTCAGGAGTGTTTGCCACTTGTTAATGATGAAGATATGAACCAAGAAGACTAGTAATATTTCTCAATGTAATATTTTGTGTTGTGATAAAAAAATTTCTTTACCTTCCAATTTCATGGGGGTAAGTTGGGATTAATTTAGTGGATACTTTGAGGGGCGGGGGATTCAAATGTATTTTTACAAGTACTATATTTTACTGCAAAATTCTGAATGCAGGGGAATCAAATTGTAAGAGATTCATGCAAAGCACAATTAAGTGAAGATTTGAGCAAAGTTTTCTTGGAAATTTATAAAGTTTTGCATTCTTCATTTTTAATTATGAGGAAATTAAGTTTTTGTTTTAAGGAAGATGTGTCAACTTTAAATTATTTGGATTAAATTGTAATGAAGTGTCGTATGGATGGAAAAAGTCAAGCATATTCTAACAGAGAAAATCCAAGCATGATTTGGTACGTACATACATACATTGAAAGCTCTCTTCTGCTTGGAACTTGAAGAAGTTTTTTTTTTTTTTTTTTTTTTTTTTTTTTTTTTTTTTTTTTTTTTTAGAAAAATGATTGCATTCATAATTCAGCCAAAAAAACCATTAACCACAAAGGACCAATACAAACTAGCCATAAAAGGGCAATTACAATAATGGAGCGGTCTAATATCAAAATTAAGGTAATCTGGTGAGTCTCCACTAACGATCATGCAGGATCGAAAAAACTCTGGCATATGCATCTCAACTAAGATTGCAAACTTAGAATAATAAAAAAAAGATAAAGCTTGAAAAAACCAAGCCATAACAATACAAATAAAACTCTCACAAAGGAGATATGAAAAGCTCTCACAAAGGAAAGATGAAAAACTCTCACAAAAGGAAATGTGAAAACTACACAGAGAACCCAAAGAGTCTCTGCAACTTATTCCAAACATAAAGAAATTGCAAAAAAGATGGTGGTGGAGATCCAACGCCGAAATGCAGGTGAAAATCCGACGCTGAGCTGCAGCCGCCTATAATGGTTGGATGAAAATCATAACCAAACTAAGACAAATATGGAAAACCCTTTGTCTCTGAAAATGAGGAAAGAGGTGAAAGGAGGAAGAGAAGAGGGGAGAGGGGGGAAGAACAATGACTTCCTCCCCCCTCAAAGTGGAAAAGGCTCTAAGAGTGTTTTTTGGGAGAAAGGGGGCTAGGGTTTTTTCAATTTTTTTTGTGTGGAAATCCAATCCAACCTCATCCTAAACTCAGCATTAGAGCCCAAATCATCTAAGCTATTTTGTAATCTGTTGGCGCAGATCAATTATTAAATAAAACAGAGTATTTTACTATTTTCATTATTTTCGAGATATTTTCTACTATTATTAGTATTTCTGTATGGAGAATCAACAAGAATATTATTTATAATAGGTAGGTCATGTCCCTATAATCATATTACATCAGCAAAGGTAATTCCTTATTAATGCATTGTCATTTTCAGTTAATTATTACATTTATTATTAAAATCCCCATTTTATTTTCAAAAAGAGTCAGAGAATGGTCTTATTTTTTGCGCCAAACCATAGAAATATCATTGATAAAAGCTGAAAGGCTTGATTACAATAGCCATACACTTAAACCCATACTTAACTCAAACAAGGATCTAATACAAATTTCAATAGGATACAAAAGATAATCACGACTATGATACTCCCTCACTTACAGAACTGAGGGCTTGAATCTAGCAACAAACCAATATCAATGTCACATGTTGTACATATTGAGATGAGCCACAACTCTTTTTAAACCGGCCATATTAATCAATATTACTTTTTTCTTTTCTTTTTTGGCTCCCATCAATATGATATTGATGACTCGATGTATACTAGTTTATGAAAATATGTCGAACAGTTATTGTTGTGCATTTGATCTCTATTGGCAAATTGAATGGTGATGCCAATTGGGTTACATTTGGCTGCAAATGGCTGATGGATGACTTGTTCTTCATTTGCTTTCAGGCCTAAATAATGGTAATGAATAATCCGAACTCTCAATATTTATGAGAGCGTAAAATAGAAACCAAGTACATGTCTTCCCTTTAAAAGCAACAATATACAAACAAGCTGTTTGGAAAAACCACCTCAAAAACCAACCTCAAAATTTCCATCTTTTATATGTGCCGTTTAGAATTTGTCATTACAACAAAAGCGTACGTGTTTTTGTTTCTTGTACATGCATAGTATTGTGTGGTGGAGAGATGGGCAAAATAAAAGTTGCAGGTTTTGAAGAGTCTGAGTTTGGAGAGGCAAAGGTGAAGCAGTATAAAATGGAGCACTATCTGAATCACTTTGGAGGAATCAAAGTGGACAGAATTGTAGGAGTGTTCAATTTCAAAGGGGAGAGGCTAACGAGCTTGATCATTGCCCTGCCGAAATTATGCAGACTCAAGCTCTTTGCCTTTGCTGCCACAACCATTTTGCTTCTCTCTGTCTGTGCAGTTCAGTTGAGCACGCTCAGCGATATCATGAAGCCCCGGGTCTTGATGTTCCGCTCTAACTCTCAGCCTATTGCTCCGCCACAACCACAAACAACTGAAACTGAAAGTGAGTCCACAACTTTCTCCTAAAGTTAGGAATCTTTGTTGCCAGCCGTTAATTAGTTTGATATACATTGTTGGCCGGTTCTCTGATATCTTCACCATCTTAATAATTAAAATTCTAGGGGATTATGAGAATAATGGATTTCTGATGGTCTCATCAAATGGAGGGTTGAATCAAATGCGAGCTGGTGTGAGTGATTTTATACTGATATCTCAGTCTCAATTTGCATATTTATACTTGAATATTCAAGTAATGCATGCATGCCCGTAAAATCTACACTGCAGATTTGTGACATGGTAGCTATTGCAAGGTTTATGAATGTCACACTTATAGTTCCTGAGTTGGATAATACCTCCTTCTGGAATGATCGCATGTCAGTCGAATTTAAAAACTCTGCCCTCTTGTCTTTAACCTGAAGAACCTTAATTAACATATAGATTATCAAGTACATTAAATTTGACTAAGATAAATACTTAACATGGCAGTCGGTTTGAGGTCATATTTGATGTGGATTACTTCATATCATCGCTGAGAGATGAGGTTCGGATATTGAAAGTTCTGCCTCATGACCAGATCAGGAGAGTGGAGATAGCTACTCTCTATTCCATGCCACCTGCTAGTTGGTCTAACATGTCATATTACGACCAAGTGGTTGGTTCCTAATTCCTGTTTAAGTATAATTAATCATGGTCATTTTGTGTTACCAAACTTAATGTTATGATTAATCTTTGGATGTAATCTATGTGCAAACAGATTCTTCCTCGGATAAAGTATGGAGTTCTGAATTTTACTAAAACTGATGCCAGGCTTGCAAATAATGGGATCCCAAAAGAGGTTCAAGAACTGCGGTGCAAAGCGAATTACAAGGCTCTGAGATTCACGCCTCCCATTGAGGAATTGGGGAAGAAGATTGTTAGGATTCTGAGGGAAAAGGGTCCATTCTTAGTTCTTCATCTGAGATATGAAATGGACATGTTGGCATTTTCTGGTTGCACTGAGGGTTGCAATGACAAAGAAACTGAAGAATTGACAAATATGAGGTGAGAGACCACCAATCTTAGCTTCACTTCCTCAAGCTCATATTTATGAATAAAATTCAATTTTTGCATGTTATATGCCCAACAGGTTTGCTTATCCATGGTGGAAAGAGAAAATAATAGATTCTGAAAAGAAAAGAAAAGCTGGGTCATGCCCTTTAACTCCTGAGGAAACTGCCCTTGCTTTGAGGGCATTGGATATTGATCCCGGCATCCAAGTTTACATTGCCGCAGGCGATATATATGGAGGAGAAAGGAGAATGGCATCTCTGAGATTAGCCTTTCCCCATATGGTTAGTTGCTTGAACCTTAAGAAACAAGTTGTGGTATAACTATTATATATGCGTATGTGTATGAAATGTGTTATTGTTGTGTGTGAAACAGGTTAAAAAGGAATCATTGCTTAGAGCCTCAGACCTTGAGCCCTTCCGCAAAGATTCGAACCAAATGGCGGCATTAGATTACATTGTGTCACTGGAAAGTGACATCTTTGTTCCTACTTATGGGGGAAACATGGTAAGAGTTGTTGAAGGCCATAGAAGGTATCTACATATATGTTGTCAAAAGTTTATTCATTACTTGTATTAATTTCTTTCTCACTAACAATTTATATATGTACAGGTACTTGGGATTCAGGACAACAATTCGTGTAGACAGAATGCTTCTGGTGGATTTTATAGACCAGTACAAGAACGGAACTCTGAGCTGGGATGAATTTTCCCAGGCAGTGAAAACAGGACATGCCGATCGCATGGGTATCCCAACTCAAAGATTGGAGATTCCTGGCAAGCCCAAGGAGGAAGAAAATTTCTATAACAACCCAGAGGAATGTTTGCCACCAATTCCCTAAAAACCAAAAAGTCCGTAAATATTTACATGTTACATGTGCCATTAGATTCCACTCCCCATGATTAATGTAGAAGAATTTTTGCTTTATTTCCCTTGGGTTGGGATTAGAAGAGGGGACTGGGATGTTTTCTTTTCCTTTTATTAACGCAATTTTGCCATCCAAATACTCAAAGTCAAAAGTGTAAGGTCATTCACAGAAAAGCTGAAGGTTCCTTGCACTGCAGGTCCTTCACAATGAAGATAGTTTCATCAGTAAATTCAATGACTGAAAAACACAAACAGATGATGAACTCCAAAGAGACAAAATTGTCGCCACTTAATACAAGCACTTAATACAAGCATGCCGTGTCCTGAATGTTTGCTCTAAACCAATAATGCCCCGGACACAAACTACCAACTCAATTACCAAGAAATCGGCCCTGAGTGGCTCCATTACATTAGAAATAATTATGTACGATACAGCTAAATTACGGGTAATGGGATCCCCTAAGATGGGTTACTTAAAGAAATCTATAAATTACAGAAACGGCTCTAAACACGAGTTCAATGAAATAGTGTTTTAAAATTTTTAAATTAAAAAAACATACCACCCCATGTACACTAAGAAGATGACACTATGACATCCCAAATCATAATAAAAGAGTAAAATCTGGGAGAAATTGAGACAGAGAAAACCCCACACTAGTTTTATGTCTTCATGCACTTATGAGCTTGATCTGAGTCCTCTCCACTGCCAGCATCCCTAAAATGTGCCACTGTTTGATTGCTTGAATGGGGAATCTCATGATCCTGGAAAGTAGTGATCAAACTATAAGATTATCCAGAATGAGAGGTTGACAGATCCACAAGAATGGATGAAAAGAGAGTTGCAATTTAAACTAAACAGACCCACATGCTTTTAGAAAGATGGCTAATGGAGAGAGTTTTCAGGGCAGTGGAAGAAAAGAAAACAAAAGAAATGGAACCCGTTATACTATTCCAGTTCTTCAGAATAAAATTTACTTGCCATTTCTTTTGGCAACCAGGAGAATAAAGAATTCAGGTGCTTTACAGGTAGAAGAACCCAAACCCTGCTTACCTACCAACTCCACCATAAGAACAAAACTCAAATACCTAATATGTACCTTAGAAGCAGGTGTTCCAGAGGATAGCCCTCGGTTCGCACGATTTCCAAGATCAATCTGCACTGAGACACTAGCCCGTGACAGATCAACACCAGCACTCTGCAGTGCTTCATTCAGAGAGTTTAATAACCTGTTCATCATCAATTTTATGCCCATTACCATCTTATAACGTAGGACATAAGCTATATAAAAACCTTTCAGCATATAACAGAAATTTCATAATTTTTTTTATTGTTTACCAAAACCATAAGTCCTATAGATATAGCATGAGTACCCACCCTTGTGAGTAAACACTTGAGATGCTTATTGTGCCACCTTCAATTGTCAGCTCCTCCTGTTGATTCAGTGCATCAATAGCACTAGTGGGAGGGCACTGAGTTGATTGGGCATCAGAAACTGGTCCCTGAAGAGGATGGGCAAGTATACCATCACTTCTGACAGGGCCAGTCATGTTAACCGGCAGAGGCATAGGCAGAGGAATTGCCTTGTTCACTATCTCAGGTTGCCGATCCATAATTTTGGAAGCAACATCCCTGCTAGGATCAGATTCTACTGGATTCTGTGTGCTATTTGCAAGCATGTTCGGGGTGATGGAAATGCTATTTTCATCAAATTTTCCAGGGAAAGGTGACACTGCACCAGTATCATTCTTTCCGGCCTGAGGATGACCCACAAAACTCTGCACACGCCAGTGACTATTTCTCTGTTTCACGCAGGGTAGGGTGTAAGCATGTTAGATCAAGAAGTATCTTAAACAGGAAATTAAGTGTCATTTTTATTCAGAAGCTATCCTCGTTGTGCCAGAAAACATGCATCAGAAGCAGCTTAATATAATTCCACCTTATCAGCAATTGAGCCCATTCCATAGTTACCCAATAACTCAACACATTATGCAATGAATCAGTGACAGCACCTCCAAAAATAAAAAAGAAAAAAAAGTTATCACAACTGTTGAGCTCAAGACAAGGCATTAATGTTTCCGTACTCTTGTAAAGCTTTATGGTTTTTATGCAGGAAAGCAAGCAATCAGATCCTCTCTAAACCCTAACACCCTAACAAAACAAAGATCCTCTGTTGTTCAGGATAGTATAATCGCATAGATCAATCCTAGTTCAAAAGAACGCACATATACAGCAATTTAACACCTGGCTTTGAGCATACAGGTGGACATAGCACCTTAACACCCAGACTACATAAGTGGGCAAAAGTCAGAACATTACCCACGGCATTAACTTTGTGGGCTCAGGACTCCACCCCTGGTATGAACCTTCATATTTGTGGACTTTTTCTTGTAAATATTGGACATACTCAATCACCTGCCAAAAAAAAAGTGATAACCCAGGAACTACGCTTAAGTACTGTGCTTGTAAAACAAGTTTAACAAATACACAGTTTATCCACACACAAACAACAGTACCTCGAGCAGGAATGATGCCGTATCTCTTTTTTGATCACTATGGGGTATTAAATCTCTCAATATCTGGAATCTGTAAGAAAAAGATTAAGCTCCCTCAAGCTCTATTGACAATCAATCATACATTTCTTGTTAAAGCAACTCATACCCTGCACTACCAATTCTTAACATCAGAACTTCAACATCCATGATGTAACCACCATGTGGCATGTCAACACTCCACAACAAATGGACGAATTCCCCCTTGAATAAAAGAAAACCATGCAAGCTTCAAACTTTATCTACTTTTTAGAACATGAACCACTCAAGCAATTGACTTGTTAAACAAAAACATTTATAATCACAGGAAAACAAGTAAATGGTTAAATTGGCATCATCCGCTAAGCAGAATTACCATCCGTACAAACGTCAGAAACACTTCCTAACTAATAACACCAACTAATTGTTGAATGATGAGAAGTGCGCAATGATCTATGAATATACCGCCGGCCCCTCCCTTTCTGTTTCGAAGCAATTACCCCTTGGCTAGAGTAAATTTCAAATGAGAATTTGATGGAAAGCAAATGCAAATAAAGCATACCTCTCGTTGATCTTGCTCCTCCTTCGCTGCTCCGTGACTGAATGTTTCGATCGTATAGCACTAGCCTTATCGTTGTTCTTGGCATCTGGTTTGCATGATCCAAATTCCGAATTTCAAATTACAAACTAGCCTTATCGTTGTCCGCTCAAAACATATGAAGATGAAATCTTTTGTGCCGAATTACAATTGCCAAAGCAGTAAAGCTTAAAAACATATCGATGGATCTACAAATACGAAATACCCATGTGTAAAAAGAAGGTGGGTAGAGATAAAAAGGTCACCTTTGCTGTTGGAATTGGAAGAAGGGCCCTCTTTTCTGGAGCCAAATTCCTCGTCGTCGTAGTCATCCTCCTCCTGATTGCCTTTGGCTGCGGTTCTCATCCTCCTTCTATGTGAATTGAGATGGGCTTGGATTTATATTCCAAGATTTTCTGCACGAATCTGAAAAGTACCCCAGATAAGAAGAAAATCTCAGAAATGTCAACACCCAAAGGTGCAATTGGAGATTTGAGGAGACTGAGAGTGTGCTTTTTGGATAGTTGATTGAGAATTGAAGTTGGATGAGGAATTTGAGTTTGGGTGTATTTGTTTTTTTCCGACTGAGCATGAGCAAGGCAGCACCTGTGTACGTTTAATTAAGGCAGCGGCAGCAGCAGCAGCTGACACTGCTGTTTCTGTTTGGGCTCTCTTCCTTGTGACCTGTGTGTGTCACCATGACTCGTTTGCGCGAACTTGATGGAGTGAGATTACCATGTGGGTGGCCTCACGTGCTTCCCGTGAGGTCACTTAATTCGCGTTTCTTTTTTCTTTTTCTTTTTCTTTTTGGGGGTATTATTGCCAACGATGTAATGAACGACTAACAATTCACATGTGTTGTTTAAGAAAAATGAATAAATAAATAAATAAATACTTCCACAGAACAGAACATATATATATATATGGTGATTTTCTACTACAATAATATTAAATATATAAACTTAGTATACACTAAATTTATATAATTTGTAAATAAATCAGATGTAAAATGAACCCACAAATGAAATACTACAACATCGGTTAGTATCTTGTTTCAACCTGCCATTAACCTAATGAGTTATTAATTCAATTCAATCTTATACGCTAAACGTGGTCTAAATTACCTTTTTTATTATTATATAATAATGATTATTTAATTCGTTGTTACTTACTCATGTGAACCACTAATGTTGAATTTGACAAGTACATGCACTGTGTTTTCTGTTTTTAGGAGAACATAAAGATATGATGATTTGGGCTGCTCAATTCTCTTGCAAACGCCTTCCTCTACTGTTAGCAACAGGCCTTAATTTGTACTCATTGGGTTCGATATTCTTGTATAGTTTTTTTACTGTTTGGGCTTCGGCCCAAGCGTCACTCTTCACAGGGAGATTAAAATGATGAGGGTTTTAGTGACGAGAAATTTTTATATGTTCCGATTATAATGAAGAGTCCCTTAATAGCCGTCCTCCTCATTATAACCCCTCAACATTTATGGAAGCTCCATGAAAGTGCAATTGGTGGATCTCCGTCATCCATGGAAGTGCCACGGAGATTAAGAAGAGGCCATAAGAAACGAAAGGACGTGCTTACTATGTGCCTACATATATTCCCATAAACTACACCCACGTACGTTCCTACGTTCTTTGCTTTGCATTTTGCTCCTAATTTCCTAATTCCTATGCTGCGCTATTATATTACCTCAATCACTCCGAAACCTCATCTTCTTCCCAGATTGGTTTACATAAAAGATGGAGCCTGCATTCTAGTGACACTTGGAGGCACGAGTCCCCACTCATCCCGCCAAGTGGCACGCATCTACCGGTGCATGCCCCTCTCGAGCTAATTAAGATTAGCTTCGCAATGGTGGATGAATGAATGAATGAATGAATATATGATCTTTCTGTTCTTCAACATAATCTCAACTTGATCGATTGGATTTCTTCCTAGTTTCATGGCCCTCTAAACACAAATTAACACTTTTTTAACGTTTAATATTTTCACTGGAAAATTGTGTTTAAACTTCCAAATCATTAGTTTCAATGCCTCGTGTGGTTTCACAGAATAAATATCTAATCTCCTCCATAATCTTCTTGTTTCAACAAGTGGTGAAGTTGTGGGCAAAGGCATGCGCCTGTGTTGCTCTCTCCATCTTCCTCATAGTTTGCATCCCCTTTTTGATCCTTGTGCTTCTACCCTTCTTCACTTCTTTTCTATGGGCACTTTTTCTTTGTAAGATCTTGTGTTTTTTCAGATTGTGCCCGCAATTTAGATTTCTAGAAACGAAAATATTCTTCAATTACTTGTCATGCACTGCAACAAAATTTATAGGCAGCAGAAGCAGCACATCCCATTTCGAGTGTGATTATAATCACAAGATTAACAATAATGATAATGAGTTAATAGCCAAGTCTCTTGAGGATAAGCAGGAGAGCGTTGACTTGGATCCCTCTGAGCTTCCATGTCTGTATGAATCTGATTTTGATATTGAAGAAGATCATCAAGAGATCAACAGCGAAAGAAGGGTCAAGGAAGGGACGACGGGTCATATTCGCACTTACCAGAAGGAAGGCTCATGGCAAGTTGTGGTTTCAAAGCCTGCCCTGAGCAAGAAGAGAGAGCCTCAATCGGTATGCGTGTGTTTAATAATATACAAATATATTCATTGTCTCAGTTGATAATTTCATGTTGTGATTAACTTCCCAATTAAATATTGTTTTGTTTAAATTCGTTTGGAAACAGTTCTATGATGTTTTGTCGTTTTGGAAATGCAAGGAGAAAGGGCAGGAGACATAGAAGGAAAAATCCAACATCTCATCTCTTGTGTAAAGATTGTATAGCTGGCTAGGACTTGTTGTCTTTTTTGACATTGTGCAGTAATGTTTAATGGATCTCCACCTTTTGTGATTGTTTTCCATTTTGACTCTTCCTGCCCTTTCTTAATCACCGCATTTCCCTAATTCTTCTAATCAAGCTCTGGAAGTCAACATTACTTTTTGAAAACAAACTACAAACGCGTGACAAAGATAGACACAAGCGACAAACACACGTCTTCAGTGAATTGAATAGTCTTTGTTAATGAAAGAAAAAGACTGAATGAATGAATCTATATTTGATCAAGTTCAGAACGAACTTTTCCGTTAAAACTATTAGCAACATATTATTTTTTTCTCATGGACTAAGAAGTTCATAAGAGGTCTTCTTCTTTGTCTTTATTATGATATTTTATCTTCTGAATTCTTTTTAAAAGATTGAGTGTGACTGATTTCAAATCGAGCTAAAAATTTGGAAAATATATCATATCTGACACTCGTTTAGTGTAAGAATTTAGGCCCCGTTTGAGATTGCTTTTTTTGGCCAAAAACCTGCTTAACTTTAAAGTTAAGAAGTTTAAGGTGTTTGGTAAAATTAAAATATCCCGATTATTTTAAAAGCAGTGGCCTTTTGACAGCAGCTTTTAAAAGCTGACTCTGGGTTACTTTTCAAAGCTGCTTTCAAAATAAGCAGAGATGAACATTTAATGAATTTTTTTAATTCTCAAAATATCATCATTCATTTTTAAAAAATGACACCACCTCCACTTTTACATCTAATTCCACCACTTGCACCACCACATTTACTACCTCCACAACCACCGTCACCACCACTACCACAACCACCACATCCTCCTCCTCCTCATCCTCCGCCACCACCACCACCTCCAACATCACCTCCTCCTCATTCACCACCACTGCCGCCACCACCACCACCACCATCACCACCACCACCACCTCAACCTCCACCTCCACCTCCACCACCACCACCACCACCTCCACAACTGCAATCCCCACCACCACAACCATCAACTTCGCCTTCATCTCCACCACCAACTCCACTCCATCACTATCACTACCACTACCACCACATGATTAGTGCATAACACTTTTAACATCATGTCTATTTTAGTCATTATTCATAATTACAACAATTTTATATTAAAATTTACCAAACAGTTTTAACACTGCTTTTTGTACTAACAGCACTTTAAAAATAGTGTTTACCAAATATGAAGCTGCTTTACTTTACAGCTAATTATTTTTAAAGCACAGCAGAAGCAACTTTTTTTAAAAGTAACAGCAATCTCAAACTAGGCCTTAATGTGACCCAATTATTTATTGATTTCCAATCAAGTCCAAAATTTAAAAAATATCATAATATAATAAGAGAAGTCATTTGGTCAATTCAACCTTACAACTTTATGATTTGTCTAAATTTTAAAATGAGCCGTCGACCTCTAGACATCTTCTGGGCTGGGGCTGACTGAAACTTATGGACCCAAAACATCGAAATCATAATTTTCTCCCCTTGAACGCCATCTTACGTCAATTTGATATTTTAAAGTTGTTATTGGTTAATGTTAAATTTCACGATATTATTGTCTAATATATAGATAAGGATGACTTGGCTTGCGTTTCAACATGGGCTGCACTATATTAACGGGTCAAGTCAAAGTCCAACAAGGCTGCAGCAAGCCGAAGTCTTCTGCATAGCTTCTGATACTTTTCCACCAAGAATGGTATTCATATCGATCCATTATTTCACTATATATATATATATATATATATGCATCGATATCACTGCTACTCATCTAATTAATCTTTCAAAAATAACAAGGATATATAGTTTTAGCTAGCTTCAATATATTTGCCTTGTTCTTGCTGCTCTTAAAATGGCACTATCCTTCACCACTAAGAACACAACCCCCCAGAAATACCGCGACTTCATAGAATCTCTTCGACAGCGACTCACAGCAGGACGATCCACATCACACGGTATACCGGTGCTGCCTCGAAGAGAAGATGTGCCGGACGCACAGCGCTTTCTTCTTGTTGATCTCACAAACTCTGGAAACAATACCATCAGGCTCGCAATCGATGTGGTGAACGCTTACGTGGTGGGTTATGCTGCAGATGGCCGATCCTACTTTCTTAAAGAAAATGCTCGTGAGAATCCGCCTCCAATCCACACCTTGTTCCGCGACACCACTCGGATGCCTCCTCTGGACTTCGACGGCACCTACACCGGGCTTTCGCGAGCTGCGCAAGAAGCAGTGAAACGGAATATAGCACGTGATCGTGCTCGTAACCCAGCAGTGGCAGGTCTGCATAAGGATACACCTATTCTTGAGCGGATACCTCTGGGACGCAATGAACTAGATGACGCCATCAACCTGTTGCGCTTGGCACCATCCCAATCCGACCAAGCTGTAGGGTTTATAGTGGTAATTCAGATGATCTGCGAAGCGGCAAGGTTTCGGTTCATTGACGGTCTACTCCGCAATAGTATGAAGGATGTCTACGATCCCATTATACCAGGCCTTGCAATTCGGAGCCTGGAAACCCATTGGTCTGATCTCTCTGAAGAGATCCAGAGGGTTCCGGCCAATCAAACACAATTCCAGAAGGCTGTTGTGCTCCATAATATCAGAAATGAACGCGTTGAAGTACGCAGTGTTGACTCGGACGTTGTTCGGGGTGTCGCTATGCTGCTCTACGACCGAAACCAAAATGCCAATCCTGGACCTTCAGCGAAAAAGCCTCTATTAAAGAATCTAAAGCCTCACATCGGAAAACCCACAAAATAAATATAATGAGCGGTATGCTTATAGTTGTGGACAACATCAGTGTTATTAGTAATTGACCGGTAGTGTGCGTCTCTTTGAAATATGTTGTCGTCATGGATATTACTTCAACTTACTTAGTTGTACCCCAGCTTTATATATGTGTTTTGTACCTCTGTTGTTTGCTTGTACTCTTCCGTTTTGAGAGGCGTGCAAGTCGATTGTCATGTGTAATCTATAAAATAAAGCAAGGTTAACTTTTGTTCTTCAATATAAACCTGTTCTCCATCGATTGGATTTGCCTGCTTTTGATTCTTTTGTTTCTACCTTTCTTCACTGCTTTTTTATGGGCACTTTTTCTTTGTAAGATCTTGTGTTTTTTCAGATTGTGCACCCATTTTATAGATTTCTAGAAATGAAAATTATATATTGTTGAGTTACTTGTCATCTACTGCAACAAAACTAATATGCGGCAGCGGCACATCCAATTCCAAGTGTGATCTTCATCATCCTCATCATCACAAGATTATTATAGGCAAAGCTCTTGAGGATAAGCTGGAGAGCGTTGACTTGAATCCCCCTGTATGAATCTGATTTTGATATTGAAGAGATCAAAGGCAAGAAAGGGGTCAAATTTGCATGTATGAGGAGGAAGGGTCGTGGCAAGTTCTGGTTTCAAAGTCTGCCCTGCGCGTATGTTTAATATACAATATTCGATATCTCGCCTATTAATTTTCCATTTTTCTGATTTATTTTGATACAGTTCTATGATGTTTTGTCGCTTTGGAAAAGCAAGGAGAAAGGAGAGGAGCCATAGAAGAAAAAATTCAACACATCTTTTGTAAGATTGTAAAGCTGGCTAGGACAGTTCTGTTTTTTCTTGGTCTCCTCCTCGCCTTTCTTAATCGGCCTTTTACCTAATTCTTCTACTTAGCCCACGTAAATATCTATTATATATTTTTTTAGGTTGTAAACAGAATTTAGAGATGGGGGTAAAAATAGCAATGGTCAACCATATATATATATATTCACATGTAAAAGCAGCTTATACAAACTTTGTAGGGAACCCCCAATTACATACTAATTCAAAAACAAAAGAGCCAAACATTTCATCACTTGATTAATGGAACCGAACTTTGTGTGCTGAAGAGAAATGCTTTGCCGCGGCAACCATGGTCGCCTCTGTCCCTGAACTGGTTGATACAGACGTTTCCCTCCTTGCATTTCCACCTTTACCAGCTGATGAGAAGACAAAGAAGCACGACCTGATCCATGAACCCAATACTGTTGAGCCTCCACCGTCTCTTTTGTCCTTGATCACCATCTTATTGCTTATTGAGTTTTTTCGACTTGCAATATATAAATCGGAGGAACAGCAACAGAATTCCTAGAGCAGAAAAAAAGAAATAACAGAACCAGAGTTTTATGATTAATGAGGTTTTGTTTGGAAACAGCAGTAGCTTCAAACTTGCTTTTATAATTTCCAGTTACTTGATGGTCACGTTCAACCAGTATAAATTTGACTTGATTGGGTTCAGAAGAGACGAGAGGAAAGATCCCAACAAAGGGGTAGATTTTGACGTTTGCTTGTAGACCAAGTCTTAGAAATCTATTTTATTGTGAATCAAAATCTTCGGAACTATGTATCTTGGCACCTATGGGTCATATATTCTTTTTAGCTCGCATGCAAGGCAAGATCAAGTACAGCTGGCAGTCAAACATATGTTACATAACTAATTAATGAAAATCCTCATTAGATTATACATAAGTCAACATCACTTTAGAAAACCAAGTAAAAACGTGTTAACAACAAGACACAAACTAGCCACTCGTTTTGAGACATTGATGAGCAATTGCTATCATATGAAATTGCATATAGTTCCAGATTAAGTTAAGAACGAACTCTCGAGTTAAACATGATTTTTATTTGTTATGGTTTTTTTTAAGGGAGTTTCACTAAAACACCCAAAATGGGGGCTGAAATTATAAAAAAACCCAACACCCAAAACATTTTATAAACACACCCAAAACCCATCATTACACACACTCAAAATCCATTTATAAACACACCCAAAAAATATACAATTGTTGATTTTGGGGTTGATTTTGGGTGTGTTTCTATGTTTAAACAGTGTTTGGGTTTTTTTATAAATACATGTCTAGGATTGGGTTTATTTATAAATTTGTATTTTTTTAAAATACAAATAATAGTCTAAATTACTTTAAATTAATTTAATTTACAAAAAGGAAAATTCGAACCTGAGTGTAAGGTAGACGAACTCACTATTCTAGCCTAATGCACGTATGCAATTTTGTTTCTTTTTCTAATTTTCTATTGTTAATATTAAAAAATTTAATTGAGTAGTATACATCTTCTGAGGCTAGGCTTAAGTACTCGCACCCATGCCCCAAATCCACTGTACCTTTCGGCTCAAGGCTTCAGTTAGGGAATGGACCCCCTCAACTTTAAAATGGGTCGTCAAAATCACAATTTTGCCCCTTTTGCAAGGGAGTGGAGTGGAGTCAAATTATGGTTCTTTAGTTAAAATTTAGCTAAAATCACATAAAAATTATTTTAGGAGCTCTCTATAAAATTTGAACTTCAATCATCCGTAGTTTAGAGAGTCATAAATACTATAGTTATTTTTTAATTCAATATGATTGGTCCATCTCTATAAAAAAAGAATATAAAAAAATAGTTAGTATTAATTAAAAGTTTAAACAATGCATAAAACAAAGCAGTATTAAATTAGAGGGAGCCATTAGGAGCTCTTTCTATCTCTTCAGATTTAGGAGTTCCTAAGGTCTCCTTATTTTTGGAGATGAATAGAAAGCATGGTTGAAGCTGTATTTTTCCAATTCCTCTCTAAAATTTGTTTAAGGAGATGGTTTAGGGAGTCCATTGTGGATACTCTAAATAAAATAAAACCAAACATAAACATCCATAAAAAATAAAAATCAATCAATCAATGCCATATGTTATTTGAATTTCATATTTAAGCGTTATTTTTATTTCATATTTATGTGCTTTGCCTTTTTTCCCTATTTTAATCCAATTATCCAAACATGAGACATTGCAAGCTAACAACATTGGATGCACTTCTCTACTTCATTAAATCATAAGGTTTGTTGAAGCATCCTCATGTCCTGTGCATGAAGGTTCACCCGTTATTCTTTTGGTCAGTAAAAGAATCCGTTTAGATTTAAGAGAAGGAATTCAAGAAACCAATTCACCATAATGATTCTTACTTCATTCATTAGTTGCTAAAAAAGCATGGTGATATTGCAGTCAACATATTATTTCAACAAACAACAAGAAGCATGCCTTCTTAGATGATCAATCACAAAAAAAACATACATCAAGAATATAATTTGGTGAAAAGGAATTCGTCAATGAAATCTGAAAATTCATAAACTTAAAATATCATAATAATAATGGAGTAATCTAAGGCTTCAAACTAAGCCCTACAAGCTTAGCAACTGAACATACAAATTAAAAGAAATACGTAGAGATTTGTGCCCACAAGTTCCCCTTTCTTCTTGGCTGCTTGGTTACTTTCCTCCCCCTCCTTAGATTCGTTAGAGAGTGTATGAAGAGAGGGGGAGAGAGAGAGAGAGAGAGAGAGAGAGAGAGAGAGAGAGAGAGAGAGAGAGAGAGAGAGAGAGAGAGAGAGAGAGAGAGAGAGCATTCATACCACAACACTTTGGCCTCATTAAAGCATTCATACATTGTCTTCACATGACACCAAACTCCAATTTCAACCAGATTTACTGTCCAAACCTTCAGATTTAGTTTTCAGATTGCTCGATTAAATCTTCTCTCAACTCTTTAGTCTATGTATGAATTCCAGCCAATCAAACTAAACCCAACAATAAGTTTTTGGCCAAAATCACTTTGTGGTTTTCATATCTTTTATTTTCTTTCACCAAAAGAAAAGAATAGAAAAGAAACTCAGAATCAGAATCAATCAATGCAAGCTGTGTTCCACAATTCTCATTCGAGATAAATTCTTGGGTGGTAAGATAAGATCACTCAAATAAAATTATTCGATGTTGTTTCTAATCATCACTTTATTTTTATCTTCTGAAATAAAATTAGAAAGGAAAAAAGAAAACAAAGAGACTTTTCCAACAACGTTGACTTAGTCAGCTCAGATGTTAGCCAAGCAAGCTGTCATTGGCCTCTCTACTGTTGTATAAAAGCTGATACACACATGACACTAGTGTATTGTTGCATCGATATCACTGCTACTCATCTAATTAATCTCTCGAAAATAACAAGGATATATACTTTTAGCTAGCTTCAATATATTTGCCTTGTTCTTGCTGCTCTTAAAATGGCACTATCCTTCTCCACTAAGAACACAACCCCCCAGAAATACCGCGACTTCATAGAATCTCTACGACAACGACTCACAGCCGGACGATCCAAATCACACGGTATACCGGTGCTGCCTCGAAGAGAAGATGTGCCGGACGCACAGCGCTTTCTTCTTGTTGATCTCACAAACTCTGGAAACAATACCATCAGGCTCGCAATCGATGTGGTGAACGCTTACGTGGTGGGTTATGCTGCAGGTGGCCGATCCTACTTTCTTAAAGAAAATGCTCGTGAGAATCCGCCTCCAATCCACACCTTGTTCCGCGACACCACTCGGATGCCTCCTCTGGACTTCGACGGCACCTACACCGGGCTTTCGCGAGCTGCGCAAGAAGCAGTGAAACGGAATATAGCACGTGATCGTGCTCGTAACCCAGCAGTGGCAGGTCTGCATCCGGATACACCTATTCTTGAGCGGATACCTCTGGGACGCAATGAACTAGATGACGCCATCAACCTGTTGAGCTTGGCACCATCCCAATCCGACCAAGCTATAGGGTTTATAGTGGTAATTCAGATGATCTGCGAAGCGGCAAGGTTTCGGTTCATTGAGGGTCTACTCCGCAATAGTATGAAGGATGTCTACGATCCCACTATACCAGGCCCTGCAACTCGGAGCCTGGAAACCCATTGGTCTGATCTCTCTGAAGAGATCCAGAGGGTTCCGGCCAATCAAACACAATTCCAGAAGGCTGTTGTGCTCTATAATATCAGAAATGAACGCGTTGAAGTACGCAGTGTTGACTCAGACGTTGTTCGGGGTGTCGCTATGCTGCTCTACGACCGAAACCAAAATGCCAATCCTGGACCTTCAGCGAAAAAGCCTCTGTTAAAGAATCAAAAGCCTCACATCGGAAAACCCACAAAATAAATATAATGAGTGGTTCCGGTAGGATGTGCTTATAGTTGTGGACAATATCAGTATTATTAGTAATGAACCGGTAGTGTGCGTCTCTTTGAAATACGTTGTCCTCGTGGATATTACTTCAACTTAGTTGTACCCCAGCTTTATATATGTGTTCTGTACCTCTGTTCTTTGCTTGTACTCTTCCGTTTTGAGAGGTGTGCAAGTCGATTGTCATGTGTAATCTATAAAATAAAGCAAGGTTAACTTCTGTTCTTCAATATAAACCTGTTCTCCATCGATTGGATTTTCCTGCTTTTGATTCTTGTGTTTCTACCTTTCTTCACTGCTTTTTTATGGGCACTTTTTCTTTGTGAGATCTTGTGTTTTTTCAGATTGTGCACCCATTTTATAGATTTCTAGAAATGAAAATTATATGTTGTTGAGTTACTTGTCATCTACTGCAACAAAACTAATATGCAGCAGCGGCACATCCAATTCCAAGTGTGATCTTCATCATCCTCATCATCACAAGATTATTATAGGAGTAATAATAAGTTGAGTTAATAGCCAAAGCTCTTGAGGATAAGCAGGAGAGGGTTGACTTGAATCCCTCAAGAGATCAAAGGCAAGAAAAGGGATCAAATTTGCCTGTATGAGGAGGAAGGCTCGTGGCAAGTTGTGGTTTAATATACAATATTCGATATCTCACCTATTAATTTTCCATTTTCTGATTTATTTTGATACAGTTCTATGATGTTTTGTCATTTTGGAAAAGCAAGGAGAAAGGAGAGGAGCCATAGAAGAAAAAATTCAACGCGTCTTTTGTGAGATTGTATAGCTGGCTAGGACAGTTCTGTTTTTATTTTCTTGTCTCCTCCTGGCCTTTCTTAATCGGCATTGATTCATACTATTTCGCCCAACACTTTGACCTTATTAAAGCATTCATACATTGTCTTCACATGACACCAAACTCCAATTTCAACCAGATTTAGTTTTCAGATTGCTCGATGAAATCTTCTCTCAACTCTTTTTTGTTAAAAATGTATGAATTCCAGCCAATCAAACTAAACCCAACAATAAGTATTTGGCCAAAATCACTTTGTTGTTTTCGTATCTTTTCTTTTCTTTTGCCAAAATCAATGCAAGTTGTGTTCCATAGTTCTCATTCGGGAGAAATTCTTGGGTGGTAAGATAAGATCACTCAAATAAAATTATTCGGTGCTGTTTCTAATCATCACTTTATTTTTATTTTCTGAAATAAAATTAGAAAAGGAAAAAAAGAAAACAAAGAGACTTTTCCAGCAACGTTGACTTAGTCAGCTCAGATATTTAGCCAAGCAAGCTGTCATTCGTCTCTCTACTGTTGTATAAAAGCTGATACACACATGACACTAGTGTATTGTATTCATTCATTCAGAAAACACAGAGAAGTAATTTTTCATACAGTTTTCTTCTCTCAATTATTTATTCTGTTTGTTTCTCTGTTTGCTTTAAAAATGATACTATCCTTCTCCACTAAGAATGCAACCCCCGAGACATACCGCGACTTCATACAAGCTCTGCGAGAACAACTCACAGCCGGACGACCCACATCACACGGTATACCGGTGCTGCCTCGAAGAGAAGATGTGCCGGACGCGCAGCGCTTTCTTCTTGTTGATCTCACAAACTCTCAAGGCAATACCATCAGGCTCGCAATCGATGTGGTCAACGCTTACGTGGTGGGTTATGCTGCAGATGGTCGAGCCTATCTTCTTCAAGAAAATGCTCGTGATAATCGGCCTCCAATCCACACTTTATTCCGCGACGCCACCACTCGGATTGATCTGGGCTTCGACGGCAGCTACGGCGGGCTTTCGCGGGTTGCACGAGAAGCAGTAGAACGGAATACCCCACGTAATCGTGCTCGTAACCGAGCTGGGGCAAGTGCGCATGACCATACACCTGTGCTTGAGCAAATCCCCATGGGACGCAATGAACTAGATACAGCCATCAGCTTGTTGCACTCCGCGTCATCCCCAACCAACCAAGCCTTAGGGTTTATCGTCATCATTCAGATGCTGTCAGAAGCGGCAAGGTTCCGGGCCATTGAGGGACTAGTCCGCACTACCATGCGGGAAACGTACGATCCCCTTATGCGAGGCATTGCAATGGAGAGCCTGGAAACCCATTGGTCTGATCTCTCCGAACAGATCCAGAGGGCACAGCAGCGCAATGAAACAGGCTTCGAGAGGGCTATTGTACTCCACAATGTCGGAAATGAACGCCGCGAAGTAAACAGTGTTGATTCACCCTTCGTTCGGGGTGTCGCGATGCTGCTCTACGACCGAAACGGAAATTGCAACCCTGGATCTGGACCTCATCGTCATGATGAATTGTAATTGTAATACTTCAACTTAGTTGTCTTTTGTTGTTGTTTGCTTTGCTTGGTTGACTCTTCCGTTTTGAGAGATCGTGTCGTTCGTGTGTAATAAAATAACGGCCAGCAAGGTTAACTTCTGTTCTCCAATTAGTACTTCTCACATGTAATATTGCTTTCATCACTGGAAATTGTGTTAATGATTCAATGTCTCTAGTGGTTTCACAGAATAATAAGTATACAATTTCCATAACCTTCTTGTTTGAGCAAAGGCATGCGCCTGTGTACTTGTCTCAATCTTCCATATAGAATTGCATCCCATTTTTTTATCCTTGTGTTTCTATACCCTTCTTCACTGCTTTTTTATGGGCACTTTCTCTTTGCAAGATCTTGTGTTTCTGCCCTTCTTCACTGCATCCCATTAATTTCTGGTCATGATGTGAACTAGTTAAGTACATGTGGCTACAGTAAAGAGATTAATTAATGGAATGATGCAACATATATATGTGTGTGTGTGTCACACTCACACCTGTTAATTTCATGTACACTTCAGCCACCCACTTTAGATATTTGTGGAGAGTTGTGTGTTGTACGCACCTCTGTCACCAACTCCAGCATGCTGATAGATATTAATTATTACATATTAATATTTAATACGATGAATAGAACTTGTTCTCTTTTTCCATCCAATTTGTTTTCGCGACGAATCGACGGCTTCAAATTTAACCACATATTTTGAATATACTTTCTAGATATATGCTGTGACAATGATACGTTTTGTCTTATTCCAAGTGGGTAAACATCCTCTTCATCTATCCATGATATCTTGTCGACAATAACTATGATATTCATAAGTTGATAAAGTACCAGCTTCGTTTAGAGAGACAAAGTCCAACAAGGCGACTGCAGCAACCCAAAGTCTTCATAGCTTTTTCAATGCATGACATACTTGAGACTTTGGCTTGTTCCAAGTCTCAAGTAACGAAGATAGTTGCACCAGCTGTTACTTTCTCTACTGCTATAAAAGCTCATACATAGTGGTGCATTCATATTCATTCCAAAAATAGAGAGAATTAATCTTCATACAGTTTCTAGATCGCAATTTCTTTCTCATCATTTTCTTGTGTGTTGTTTCTCTGTTTGCTTTAATATGGCACTCGTCTTCTCCACTAGGAATGCAACCCCCCAGACATACCGCACCTTCATAGACGCTCTGCGACTCAGACTCACAGCCGGACGGCCCACGTCACATGGTATACCGGTGCTGCCACGAAAAGAAGATGTGCAGAATGCGCAGCGCTTTCTGCTTGTTGATCTAACAAACTCTGAAAACCATAGCATCACGGTGGCAATCGATGTGGTGAACGCTTACGTGGTGGGTTATGCTGCAGGTGGTCGATCCTACTTTCTTGCAGAAAATGCTCCCGACGACAGGCCTCCAATCCACATCTTATTCCCCGGCACCACTCGGGTTCCTACTCTGCGCTTCAACGGCACCTACAGCGGGCTTACGCGCGGTGCAGTAGAAGCAGTACGACGTCGTCGTGCTGGTAACCGTGACCCAAATATAGATGAGAAGACACCTGTTCTTGAGCAAATCTTTCTGGGACGCAATCAACTAGATGAGGCCATCAGGCTGTTGCGGTCGGCGGTATCCCAACCGGAACAAGCCTTAGGGTTTGTTGTGATCATTCAAATGCTTTCGGAAGCGGCAAGGTTCCGACAAATTGAGGGACTGGTCCGCACTACCATGAAGGAAGAGTACGATCCCCTTAAGCGAGGCCTTTCACTGGCGAGCCTTGAAACCAATTGGTCTGATCTCTCCGAAGAGATCCAGAGGGTACCGGCCAATCAAACACGCTTCCAGAGGGCTATTACGGTCCACAACATCTCAAATGCACGCGTCGAAATAGACAGTGTTGAATCACCCTTTGTTCAGGGTGTCGCGATGCTGCTCTACGACCGAAACCGAAACTGAAATTGCAACCCTCCAGGACCTGCAGTGGGAATGTATGCCTATGAACATGATGAACTGTAATACGTACTACTTCAACTTATTTGAGTCTTTAAATTTTTACCTTTGCTTGGCTGACTCATCCGTTTTGAGAGGTGTGCAAGTCGTCTCGTGTGTAATAATATGATAAAATGAAGCAAGCTTCTCTTCTTCAATCAAAATATATCTCCATGCATCGATTGGGCTTGCTTGTTTCATCTCCCTCTCAAGTCTAAACCCACCCACTTACACACGTAACACAGAGTAAAAACGTGTGACAAAGTCACAAACCACAACAAGCTCTCTCATTCGTTTTGGGTGAACAGTGATCTTTGTTAATGAAAGATGAAGATTGAACGAATGAAATTGATGAGCAATTGCGGGATCTCTCACGCGAATGAATTGATGAACAGTGGTCTATATTTGGCTGTTTGAATTTTAAATAATTAAGGACCAACTTTTGAGTCATATATAGCACGTGAAGAGGTAATCTTCTAATCAAACCATCACTTCCTAAATCCATTACCATACTATCTCTCTCAGTTATTGATATTCACCACCATGATATTATTATTTTTGGGCCGAATCCACTGTTCCTTTGGGTTGATAGCACAAATTCGGTAAGGGAGTGGACCCAAAACATCATATTTTCCCCAAACTTCGGCCCCTCTTGCAAAGGGAGTGAAGTGGACTCTAATCATGGTCCTAAATATAGGATATTTTTTTTATTACCAAAAATGGTCCATCAACTTATGCTCGAGTTTCATTATAGTTCTCAAATTAATTTTTTTTACTTTCCAATAAAATTTCTTTGACCTAAATGGTCCAGGGTGTGCGAGTTCCATTTTGGTTCTCTAACTAATATTTTCAGCTCAAATAAACAATTTTTGACTTAAATGGTCCTTGGGGCATATGATTTTTCAATTTGATAAGTTTAAGCTTGTTTTTGCCCTTTGCTCTCAACCATCAAAACTTTCCCTTTTCTAAACCAATTTTCATATTAAACAAAAAAAAATCAGTTGAATGGAATAATGTGGTCTCAAATTCTATACAACCAATAAAGCTTCACTGCGTGGCAAGCCATATCAGTCTAATAAGATTACAAAAGTAGACGTGGATACCATATACCATGGTAGCATGTGTATACAAATTCAAACTCACATACACCCAAAGACAAGTCTTGAAGATTGGATGAAGCATCCTAGTGTGTATGAAGGTTCATTCACGTGCAACGTATATGATAATAGAGACAGCACCACCCGACAGGGTCTTAAAAAGCGGACTCTGAACATAAAAAAACAAAGGAGGAGGAAAAAAAAAGAAGCCCAAGTTGTCTGACTGTGTATCTGTCTCTCTGACCCATAAAGCCAAACAAATCCATGTGCACTCCCCTTCACCGCCCACCGGAAAACCGCCCTCGTAGACGGTGACACTGCTGAACCACTCAGATGACGCCAGTTGCCGGGGATAAAACTGGAGAATATGGGCGGTACGACGTGGCAGGATGCTATTGACTGGGATTTGTCTGTTGTATTTGTTTAGGGTATGCACAGATACCGTTAATCCAATCCAATCCAATGTATGGGGTCGCTGGCTAACCGGTGTGGCTCACGTTATGGCTTATTTATGGGTTTTCATTTTCATTATCGAAGGGATGGAGAAAATTTGGCCCAATGAACGTGGCAGAAAAATACATGCACCAAAACGACAGATGTGACAGGGTATCAGAAAATTTTCAGCATTGAAAGCTTCTGAATCCAAACTTAAACGAATAGATTTTCAAAGTTTTTTCAACGGTGAATTACATTCCACGTATCACTTATTACATTAATTATGGATTAATTATTTTATTAGTTTTTGGACTTTAATTAGATTTGCATTTGAGTACTTCAATTTTTAAAATGGTTCCAGTGGTCTTTTAACTATAGTTTCATTTGGACAAATAATCTTGCTGCCAATTGTGTTAACATTTTCTGTTAAATGCATGGGCAAAATAATATTTTTTTATATTAAAATTTAAAAAATTAAAAATCATATCTTTAAAATAACAATAAAAGAAAATCGAATAAAAAACCTACAAAAAAAAAACAAGTTTGGGGTAGTAGAAATCGGGATAGAGGGGGGGGGAAGATAGAGTTTAATTTTAAATTTTTTGTTTTTTTGAAATTTTTATTCATATTTTAATCAATTTTGATACAAAAATATCATTTTGCCCCTGCATTTAACAGAAAATGTTAACAAAATTGACGGCATAACCATCTGTCCTAACGAAACTGAAGTTAAAAGATCACGGGAATCATTTTGGAAATTGAGAAACTCAAATGCAAATCGGATTTCAATTCATGGACTAATAAAATGATTAACCCCATTAATTATTGAAATAACTTCATATGGATAATTACATTAATTATTTAAACAATTTCATAGTAGACACATCACTCATAACATCTTAAACATATGGTGACATTAAAGACGTTAAGAGTCGTGATTGTTAACAAACTAATTGTTTACTGAGTAATATACTTTTTCTTTCATAATGTTAGAAGACGTTTTAAGTTCAAGACAGACTTTCATTATTTATATTTTCAAAAGTAATGATTGTTCAAACGCACATATGGTATAATGACTGCTTACTAGCAAATTGAAAAGCTTTATAACTTTATATTATTACAAAAAATCTGAGAATGGTTGAAGGACGCATAAAAAGAAAGTAGAAAGCACGATGCCGGATAATATCACAACTTGTATTAAAATTAAAAAAGACAAAGAAAAAAAACAGGTGGTGGTAGGATAATATCGACAGGTCAGATATTATAGTAATCATTAGGTTCGTAGTCACCATCACGTGTAGAGTGCAGTCTTTGGGGGATTTGGCTGAGGCCGAGAGGAATTTTGTAAACCATTCAAAAAAAGCTGAGTCAGCTCTTTCGCTTTAGTCTCTGCAAGTTTTAGATGGAACGGAACAACTATCATTTGGTTTAGTGGTATTTGTCTCTATTTAATTGATACAGAGATTCGAATACAACTCA